TCATTAAACGGAGCACTGCTTCCCTAAGACGCTCTAATAAGGTCATTGGCGATGGACTTTTGTTCTTGCACGTGCTGCTTTTCAGCCTGGGGATGCATTGACCCTTCATCATTTTCCTGGGACTACCTCCCTCTTTTACTTTCTTCTATGCTCGTTTATCGATCTGTTCCCTGAGACTACCTATTTATAAGAGAATCTATTGCATGGAATAATGATTCATAAATATATGTTGGTATGGTTTTATTTAATATTTTTCTACCTTTTCATTCAATATTTTACTATTCTGGTTTGAGCTTGGCAGAATGACCCTATTAAGTTTTTAATACAAGGGGAAGGGGAAGTAATGGTAAAATTGTTCCTTCATGACTGAAATGTTATGGGTTCGAATTTAAGAAATAACCTAACTAGTCGGATTTAACGGGAAGTGTTTTTTTTTGTATTCAGATTTAAAATCATGATTATTAATTAAACTGGAACAATCTCATACAGTTGATGTACTCGCACGGTGGTAATATGTTAATATTGTTGGTCTTATGTGTGAGGCCTTGGCTGGCTTGGAAACATGTATGTTGCTAGCTTGTGGTTCACTAGCTACAAGTTAAGCCTAGTCCAATATGTACATGTATTTTATATATGGAATCTATAGCTGGGTCTATTTACTTTGGCACTCCAACTAAGAAGGTTTGACTATTCTCTCAGTACTTAATTAATTGGTACTATTTGTTACTTCTTGAACATAATCTTATATTTTTTTGGGTAAGCAAGATTGAGGAAGGGTCTGACGGTTTATTTAGATTTGATTATTCCTATAGTCAATGTCTGTCTCTAGGTTTGTTAAACAAATGTGTATGTGTACAGCACAATAACAACTTAAATTACGGTGGAAGTTTATATTTTGCGAATGGCCAATGGCTTATTATGAGCCTCACGGATTTAAGTGGAAAGACGAGCAATGCTCATGTTACTCTTGTATTCAAATTTTGTCTTTGACTGGGAAGCCCTCACATGGTTACATGTGCTGGTTTACATTACATTGTATCTGTTTAAATGCACACACCCGTTTTTGCTTTACTGATATGGTATCAATGACTAATTCTCTTAAATATTTAAACCTTTTAAACTAATTAATGATTAGTTTAACATCTGACAACTTGCAACTTAGGATTTCCATTTTATAGTGCGTGGTGTCTGTAGGAACTATTGGATTTATACGGAAGCTATTTAAGACATAGTACATTGGTATGCTTACCGAATCATCCTCGTTTCACAATTGCCTCTTGACGCGCAGATCTTCGTAGAATCACCTTGTGTATGATTTTCCTTTACATACTGTTCTCTTCTGCGTTACAGCACAAACTCACCTACAGTTCTCTTCTGTATCATAACATGAACAGATTTCTCTAATTCAACATATCTCTCTGCTCTATGGTAAACCTTTCAAGCTATCTCTCGAGGGATAAGGGAAAGTGTGTGAGCACATTTTTATATCTGAGTTTATCTCTTCTGTTCATTGATCTAGGAGGTTGATGATTTAAGTGGCAGTATTTATAAGGGTTCCAAAAAATCCTAGCCCTAAACTCATTGGACTCTAGATTTCTTGGACTCTTCTCATACTCTTAACCCATTTGAACTTTAGTAAAATAACACAAACCCAACAATGTCATCGCTTGGCTTTCCGAGGCGATGTTTTATGTTATTCGTGGGGTATGTCTGGGTTTGATATTACTGTAATTGGTACTGTAGTTTTTATTTTTAATTAAAACTTTTTTACACCATCTTTTAATTATTAGAGAGTTAGAATCTTTTTTATAATGATTGTTGATTAAATTTCTTTAATCACTTGACAATACATGATTGAGAGATAGTATAATTTAAAGAATTAAGTTATATATTAATTATTACAATAAATCCTAACTTGTCAGTGACTTAATAGATTTGATGTACAACTACTCTTTTTCCTACCAATGCTGTTCTTCTGTCCTTACTTCTATTATTTCTCGAAGCTATCACGAAGAAATGCAAACTATTAATGGCATTTCAAATGTATTTGTTCTTAATTAATATTTGCTTATAGCTTATGATGATATTTTGATAAAGATGTGCCAGCTTCTGTTTCATAGCTGCTATAAGCACAAAATCTGATTCTGTAAATTGGGCATAAGGTTTGTGTTGGAGTTGTTATGAACGAAAGATTTTTTCTTTTCTTTTTCCACGTGAGATAGTACTAGTAATGCAGTAAAAACAATAGTCTATAAGTGACTTTAGATGAACTTCAATGTATTAGATAGCGGCACATATATAAAGCCTGATAGTGTTATTGTGAGAAGACTTTGTCACAAAAATTTCTTTCTTAATTTTTCTGAACTAATATCATTATTCATCAGCTTAAATAATTACCTATATTCCCTCATGGTTAAAATTTTGAACTGTGTACTTCAAGTACTTTCTGTATGGAAAACAACACTTGTACCTACCTCCCATTTTTCTTTTAATAGCCTAGAGCAAAGCTTATTACATGACAACGATTATTACAGGAACTGATGCTGGCAGAATCGTTTGGCAGGTAATGAGAGAGTTGCTATGTGTTGATTGGTTTAACTGTAAACCTTCACTGTTTGAGCGACCTTAGAGCCTGCCCTGTTTTGTCTTATATAAGAATTTGGGAGACAAGAGTAACATGGCTTCACATGTTTATCATTTGATACGGCCACACTTCATCTATAGACACGGAAGCCTTCTGTTTATTGCGTATTATGCTATGCCTATTTTTGACAATGATCAAATATCCTCTAAATTAGAATATTTTCTTGCATATACCAATTTTTTTTTTTTGTGACTGGCTGGTTGCCAATATGAAACATGCATTTGTGAAATGGTCTTCATACCTTCTTCATTGGGCTGAAGAGTTTTAGCCCAGCTCCCCTTTCTCTTCTCTCCCTTTTGTTACAGGCCTGTCTAGAAAGGTTGCTTTTGCCCGTTGTTTGCATAAGAAGAAGAAATATGGTAATATCCAATAATTGACATTATAACGTCCGGTACAACATATTCCATGGAGCCCAATTTGAAGGGAATTTTAAAAATTTAAGTTTTATCAACAGTCTCTCTCTTTTTTAGTACAATATCAACAGTCTCTCTAGTTGTTTGATAGTGATGTCATTGGAAGTACAAGAAGAATGAACATAGTCTCAAGTATTATCTAGTTTTACTCTTGAAATAAGAGTTTATTTGGGGTCAGGAACCAATCAAATCTAGAAATGTCACAAACTCAACCCAACTCAATTCATAAGCATCCTAACTAGAACAATTGTAGTTGGAATAGTTAAATTAGCTTGAAATTAGGTTCTCTCATTGTTTCATTCTTCTAAGCGAAACTGGATTTTAAAACGTGTTTTAGTCTCATATGCTAGATGAGAGAAAATGGCTTGGGCATCATTCTCAACTTTCATGGTCCAGGGCTAGCGCAAGTTGGTATTCTTATTGTACATGATTACTACAAAATAGTAAAAATACCGTTCGGACATGACACCAAAAAGACAATATAATTGAATGTTCCGTTATTTGGTTTCTTGGTCATGTACTATATACAGGTTTTAAGCTCCAACTCTATCTGAAAACGATTTTCACCTTATGTGCATAAACCTAATTAACTAATTAGTTACTTAATAACTTTCATTAATTGTGGAAGTACAGATTTGGTGAGTGTCTAATAACAATTGAACTAGATTATACCAAAATTAAAAAAATATCAATACAAATATCTTGATTCAACCTTAAATTACAGGGAACATTGACCAAAATGTCACTGTTCACCAATTTTTTTACCTAAATGCCATGCGAACAGTGTTATTTTTCAATATGCCATGGGGGCAAGTTCGCTACCTTGTGTAGCAAACTCGGTTTGCTGACGTGTCACATTTTTAATGGATAATAAGTATCAAATTTTAAAAAAATAATAAAAAAAAAAAAATGAAGGTCGCCTATCATGTAGGCGAACTTGGTTAAAATCAAGTTGGTGTCCACTAGAAACGTGACACGTCAGCAAACTGAGTTCGCTACACCGGGTAGAGAACTTGCCCCCGTGACAGATTGGGAAATAACACTGTTCGTGTGGCATTTTAGTAAAAAAGTTGATGATCAGTGACATTTTGGTCACTGTTCCAAATTATAGTTTGTTAGCTATAAGGAGTATTTATATTTACATTTGCAAGAGATTGATTACGTAATTCGAACCTTTGTTATGATATCTGGGTCGTAACTCGTACAGCAACAACGCTAATCTCCAAGGCTCCCATTCATATTAAAATCTTTTAACAATTAACACCATGTTTGCAGAACTGGGATTTCACTGTAGCTCTTCCTCAGTTAAGCACATGAATGAAACCCTTATGAATCCAATTAGCATGAATATGAAGTTATGTTACTACTAGTTGTGTTTAAACGGGGCTTAAAGTTAAAACATATAGATGCATTGGTGCATTTTTCTATTAAAATAAAATCAGAAAACCCATATTTCTTTTAAATCAAGATCACCTATAGTAATAGTTATTATGCCATTAACCCTTGTATGAATTTATTAGTGGAAGTCCTTTTGTTGAGAAAATAAAATAAAGGTTTTGGATAATTATAAGGCTAGTGCTGAAATGCACCAGCCACCAGGAGCAAGAAATGATGGAAAACAGAATGTGTGCATGTGGAATTTTCCAACATATAGGATGAGTGATTACAAACAAAGTGCAAGAAAATTTTGGGTTTAGAGAACAATTGGCCCACGTTGTCTAATGGTGTTGGAACTTGCGTTCCCCGGTAAACAAGTTTAGCCTAAAACACTTGTGGTTTGCTCTTAGTCCCCACACCCACATGACTCTGGTCCTATTTTGTATTATTCTAAACCATGATAAATACCTCTCCACTCTCCCCCAAAATCCACACTTCTCTCAGCTTTAGTTCCCCAAACACTTCCCGCTAAAAAGATCAAAAATTGAAGGTTCAAGAGCAAAATAATGGCCATAAAAAGATCCAATAAACTACCACAAGCTGTTGTTCTCAAGCAAATTCTCAAAAGATGCTCAAGTTTTGGAAAGAAGCAGAGCTACAATGAAGAGGGTCTTCCTTATGATGTACCAAAAGGCCATTTTGCAGTGTATGTTGGAGAGAACAGGACCAGATACATTATCCCAATTTCATGGCTGGCTCACCCTCAGTTTCAAAGTCTGCTCCAAAGAGCTGAGGAGGAGTTTGGCTTCAATCATGATATGGGACTTACCATCCCCTGTGATGAAGTTGTTTTTGAGTCCCTAACCTCAATGATGAGATAAGAAGGAAGGAAGGACTTTTATGCATTTGAGTAGTGGAGGATTACCAACATAAATTCCTTGTCAAGCGGTTGTTTACAACTGAAAATTCCTTTGTCAAGTGGTGGTTCTGACTTGGTCATTATTATTAACATTAAACGTTCGGTAGTGTAATTGTATATAGTATATAGATTGATGTCCAAGCAAATTTCCTTGGCAATATCATTTGTATCTTTAATGAGTAATTGTTTAAATGAAGCAATGTTCTTGGTGAGGGTATTACCTCGTTCTAGTTTTTTAAACCCTCTTTGCTTTAGCTTGCATTTGCTTGCTTGACAAATGAAGGTTGAAAAAGTAGTTGTTAAGTCCAAAGAAATTGTTTCAGCCACCAAAAAAAAAAGGAAGATTTTTTCTTTTGAGAACTCTTAAGTTGGAGCTCTAAGATAAATATATCCAACACAGAACTAATTATGGGGGTTTTCCTTGATGACCCGGTGTTACGAGTAAAAGGTGAAGAAGCAAAAAAAGAACGCTAAGGTTCTAATTACTCGAAATTGGAAACTTTTTATCCTCTTATGCAAGGAGCTTTTGCAGAGAGAAATGGGGTGTAGGGTAAATTTTATAGTTAGTTTCAGAGTCTTTTTGGTTCTCAGCAAATTTCACGATACCCACTTTAGTCCCTAGCAAATAAAAAGGCTTATCGTGGTCTCTAAGAAATTCAAAATGGACTCATTTTAGTCCTTTTAGGGACTGATATGGGTCTTTTTTTAATTTGTGAGGAACTATGATTTCAACTAAATGGGTCCATTTTGAATTTTTTAGAAATCACTATGAGCCTTTTTATTTGCTAGGGACTAAAACGGACATCATAAAATTTGATAAGGATAGAAAAGAATATTTACTCTTATTTTTACAAGCTCTATTTTCTCAAATCCCAAACAAGATTTAGGTGGCACCAGTTACCTGTGTTCTGATATATCCATGTTTTATACTTGACCCATTATCTTGCAAGTACTTTGTAAAGATGAAAGTGATGTATCAATAGTTGAAAGTAGGGATGTAGACAGGCTGTTGTACCATTCTAAAACTGCAAAAGTTTATTAGCATTACGAAATGCTATATAAAACTACATATGTGTATACTTAACTGATCATTATGTCACATCCCTTTCGGATAAGATCCGGGGTAAGCTAGTCTCTCTCTCTCTCTCTCTCTCTCAAATGAAGGTATTTTATTGACCAAAAGAATTATCACTGCAAATAGCACAAATAGTGAGAGAAATAGCCACAATCATGTTTAGCCTTGCATGGTAAAAGACTTCATTAACCACTACTTCTTTTCATGCATTGGCTTCTTGCTATCTCATTCTCAGCTAACATGTGATCTAAAATCCATTTAACCGAAACTGAATGTGTTTAATTAAACTTCTCATCTCAGCCCTTGATTAAGGAAGTATAGAGTCTTGCGCCATTTGTTTGTAATTTATTTATAATTTTTTGAATTAAAAAGTGTTTAATTTTTTTTTTATGGCATCATATAATATTTAAAAAAAAAAGTTTTATTCACACGCACACTTGATCCTAAGGTGGACATACTAAAAAATGTTTAATTTATTCTTCCACCCGACATATAGGACAAAGCACCTTCCCTTACATTTAGAAGTGCTGAAATACTCAGCACTACTTACAAACTCCATAATTGACCACAATTAAATTATAGACCTTTCACAAAAGCATCCTTAATCTCTTAGCAACTTTGTCCATTTGGTGCACATGCAAATGGGGTCTCATTGTCCATTAAATGGGGTCCCCTGGACAATTAAACCCTTAATCTCTTTGTCCCTTCCTTGATTAACAGATAACAAAATCTGTTTACCTTAGCCACACACAAATAAAGCAAAAGTTCAGCTTCTTTTCTTTGATACCGTACGTTAGGCTGCTATGGACAAGTGGGTTAATAACATAGAGTCACAACTCCAGCCCGAGTCGAACCGTGGTCAAATACATTTTCTTGAGTAGCTTAGAAATTTTTAGGTTGCTAATTACCCACTATAATGTCATTTAGATGTCTGCGTATATAGAGGACAAGGAATTAGGAATTGATTAATTACTGAATAATTGTCTTAGCCAAATGATATTTTTAGTAATAATTATTGACCGAAAGAAAGAAACAGACAACAAATTCAAATAATAACAACACTTTTCCAGTAAGGAAATATTGACAAGTTAACTACTGAAGTTCACATGTGAAAGTACTGATGTACATTAATTCTTTGTGTCGTCGACCTTTCTCTCAGTACTGCATGATTCGATAAAGAATTATTACAGGTAAGCACGGATTAAGTTTTTGCCATGTTTATCAATTTCAAAACTCAAACCATCACCAAGCACGAGGATCAATTATTACAGGCTACAGCAATAGTCTCAAGTTCGAGTCTATGTGAATGCAACTGTATTAAAACTTTTTTGAGTCTCTTCAATCGGTTCATCCTTCGAATTAGTCCGGTTGGTTCGAGCACTATATTAAAACTTGATACTAAGAGCTTTATCATCTGTGTGATCCTACCCAACTTGAATAAGACTAGTCTAGTAATCGATAAACCTGAAGCACCCAAGCCAGAAGTCTAACAAAATAATAGATTTCAAATGTTGACTCGTAATCACATGAACTTCAAAGACACGAGGCATCATACAAGACTTGTTTTTGGATGTTGTTTTCCAAATCTAAAACCCACTATTGATTGTTTGAAGAAGCACACAAGTTAGGTTCGGTTGCTAAAGAAGTTGTAGGGTAGACATGTTAGGTTCATGAACACAAAATAAAACCTTCGCTTCCCACGTACCCATTCTCAGTATTTTCAATGCTACAATCTCATCACTTCCACGCCAACAAGGCCTAAACTAATACCAAACACAAACAAAAACTCAACCACTCTTTAAGTAATTATAAAATCGATAATATCAAGTATGTCTCCCAAAATTCAAACTAAATGTTCAACTTTGGCATCTATTTGCACGGTTTAATGGTGACAAAGTCATAACTTAATGTCGTCATCTTCGTTGGTTGCTTTTGCTTCCACCCGAACGCGGATTTCGGGTGCACCCTGAAATATTGTCCGTCATAATTGAGACGATGGTTTTAAATTTTAATTGAGCTTGCACGTGAAATGTTTTTTCAATTTTTCATTCGTGATTGAGCGAAAAAATGATGTATGCTTTTCTTCTTTTTAAATTAGTTGACTTCTTTCATTTATATCCAAGCTTATCAACACACGGATTTGGTCCATGGTATTTTTGGACAAAGCCATCAACAATTTCTAAAGTTGTTTGACTTGTAATAAACACTGCTAATTAGAAACATATACACGCTTCTCCTTTTTAAGTCAAGCTATAATGTAATTGATAAAAGAATATAAATGATATTAAAATCATGTTTGGTTTTGAGTTTTTGTACATAGTCAATGTACTTATTTTCCATTCTGGCTAGTTTCTTTTGTACCTAGCAAAATAATACTAAACAATTTTTTACCCTCCACCAACATAATTTAAATTCCCATAGGACTTGATGTCAACATTTTAGTATATGTTGAAAATATCAGTCAAAAATAATAATAAATAAAATAAAAACAAAGTAAAACATAGCATTATTGTCTGTCAAGTTGCATTCACCAATGACTAATTCTAATTTCTAAGACAGTGATAATACTCAATTTATTAAGAATCATATTTTTACACCTTTCTGTTCTAACGGTGTGATGTAACTCTTTGAAGAGAAATAGGTGAAGTAGGCATGAAGGAAAAAAAAAGGGAGAACATCGTTACATTTTACAGCCAGATTGGTGAAGTCTCACAGATTCATGGAATCTAAGTGCTTCAATAAGAATAAAGGTTTATCTAATTCAAAATATTGAGGAGAATTACAGACAGAAACATCAGTCTCCAAGAAGTTTTACTATATAGTCTATATACAACATAATCGTGGAGCTTCCACTGATAGTTGAGAAGTAACAAACAATGCTAGTGACTAGTCTTCTCTTTTGATGAAAAGAAGTGGCTCAAAACATGTACATGCTTCCCTGTAGCAGAAGCAGAAGAACAGGAATTTGTTTCAGTAAGCATATAACCAGGCTGGCTTGAGCCTATTGAAGAATTCAATGAAAAGTTGCCTTCAGTGTCTGAAAGACATGATGTGGAACCACAGTTCTGTGATGAAAATTCATCATTCACTCCTTGAATGTCAGAAGATACACTACATGCCTCAGCCTGATCAATTTCATTTGAGTTACAGGAACCAAAAGAATTTGACCAGCCATAAGTGGGTTTAACTAACATTTCATTCATTTGTAGCCTTTTACTATGATGAGACATATTTACGCCTATCTTAGGGCACATAGCTTGCAATTGCCTACCAAGTACATGCAGAGTCTCCTGACATTCTGCCAGCTTTTTCTCTGCAGCTGCTAGTTCTTTATCCTGATGACATGAAGGCATTGGAGAAAACTCATATTGAATGATGAATCCAAGGATTAAAAAAAGAAAAAGTCTAATAAAACATTGATGAACTGTTTCTAATTCCCAGTGGATCTAAATTCTAATTCCATACAATGAAATATAAAAAAGCTGCCTCAGAATGTAGTTAATGAACCATGAGAAAACATTAAGAAGAAAAAAGGTGATGAAGCCATGAAGGATGCCTATGAACATTACAAAGAGAAATGTTCATAGGAACATTTACCGAGATCGACACTGTTCTGTTTGATTACCACTTGCAGCAGTATTTTAGCAATACTATGATTGATTTCCTTTTGAAGCCAAATGTACACATCACTTCAGATATCAATTCAATAGAAATGCAAAAGGAGTTCCCTACATAAAGCAAGAAAACCATGCATTTTTTTGGCTCGGTGGAGGGCATATGAAGTTGTTCGAAATACCACTTACAGAATGTGCTTGGGGCATCTCTCGCTGGAAAGATTGAAACATCAAATGCATTCAAATTTTTACCACGATATTAAGGAGCAACAAAACATTGAAATAGTCTCTTCCTAGATGAAGATTTGTTCCAACTTTTTTTTCTAAGACCTACACCAACATATTTATTCAAGGGACTCCAAGGCTTATCTATTAGCTGTCCATATGGAGCTATTTTGGAAGCACGGTTGGAGAAAGAAATGCATTCGTGATTCCTTGAAAAGTAACCACAACCTCAATTTTGAGCAAATAACACTATATGTCAACTCATTCCATTCTTTCATATGTAGTTTGTTCTCTCCTTAAGTTTGCAGAACATGCGTGATGATAGATAGGAAATAATGCAAGACTGGCTGCAGCTACGATGATATGTAAATTTCGTAAATACCTTCCCAGTATTGATGCCATTATCTGCTGCCGAATTTGATGCACACACCAAGCACTTGTCCCTTCAAGTGGCAAACACACCGTAAATTTAGAAAGTATCACACATCAAGCTCAAGAAACAAAACTCAAAAATAGTTACGCAGTATAGAAGCTATGTTAGTGCTGCCAATTGGCCTAGACTTACAGAAGGAAATCATTTGGTTCTTATTAGCTTGCCTGTAGTTTTTATCCAGATCAAGTTTTGGGGGCTCAGAACTAACCTTTTCATTTTCTCTTCAATTTCTTTGTACCTCGCCAAGGCATCATGATGATCTTGTTTTTCCTTGGAAAGATCAGTCTTTAGCTCATCTATCTTTTCCTTTAAAAACTTATTTTCAGCTTCTAACGCCTCTACATGTGTTTGAAGTGACTTGTAAGACTCTGTCATACATTTCAGCTGAATCTCAGCCAAGCTGTGTGATTTATGACATGAAGCCAATTGTGCTTTCAGTTCTGCTATAAGCTGCACCTTTTCCTGCAACAAAAGCTTTTTTTCCACAAGATCTTGCATGTATTGATCATGTTCAGCTGCCTTATCATCTTTCTCTGACTCCATCTGTTTGAAATCTTGTGATGAGTACTTACAGGATATAAAATTCAATTCAGAACCTGGATTCACTTCTTCTTCGGGAACCTCAGAAATTGAACAGATTTGAGGAAAACAGCCATCTTTATTAAAATGCATTTCGTTTGGAATGAATGTGTCTAAACCATCAGAACTGTTAACATCCACTCTCTTTCCTTTACAGCCCAAATAATTCAAATGTGATTCAATTGTTTTGGTTAAAGCATGAGAAAGTTTAAGAACAAACTCTAAACTTGCTTTGTTTGTAATCAATTGATTAAGAGAGGAAGAGAACTCTTCCGAGTGTGCATCCAACTTGTGTCCATTGTAACAATTTCCCTGAAGTCGAGAAGCTTCTCTTCCCAGTGTTAGTATGCAACGGTGAATTGAAGAGACCGCAGCTGCCAAATCGTGATGTTCAGTAACCCCAAATTCAGTGTAAACTTTACTATCTTCAGTCACTGGCATGTTAGTCTTGAAAGACTGCTGATAGGAAGAATCATCATTATTAGGATTGGATTTCAAATAGAGAGGGCAGTCTGAAGTTCTTGGGAGGTAACCTTTTAATTCACATATGGTACCTTGAAGATCCTCAAAAAGCTTTGAGTCTTTTGTTTCAGAATTAGTGATCATTGAAATTATAGATTGAAGCCTATTCAAAATGGGAAGATAGTCATTGTCAGCATTTGGCTCCATTGTTGGGTTTGTGGCGTCAAAACAATTTTGATTTGATGACAAACAGCTAGCCTTTTGCTTACAAGGTAGCACATTGCCATTTTCTGACAAACATGCCATTTTCTCCACTTCCAGAAAGTCATCCATCAGTTCTGAGATAGTTTCAATCTTGTGATTCTCAAATTTACCTATGGTTCTAACTCCCTTGATATCAGCATGGTCAGGAATTGAGGCTGCACAAGACTCAACCGGACTTTCTGGATCCTCATGCCAATTATCAGATATAGAAGTGATGCTTGGTGGACTGCTAGAAATTCTACTTGAGGAGGTTCCATAATTGATTGGAAAAATTGATTTCTGGGCGCTTCTTTCTTGATGAAAAACCTGTAACTCTGCTTCTAAGCTCTTAAGTCTGCCAACCGTTTTAGCATACAAGTTTCTAGAAGCCTGAAGTTCAGTATTACTTGAGGCCAAAGCTTCTTTCAATGTCTTCGTTTCGTCTTCCAACACCTCCAATTGTTTGGAAAGAAAGTCAGATTCTTGCAGACTATCAGTTTTTAAATAAGTTTTTCTTAGATGTTGGTGTGAAGTCTCAACTTCTAGCTTCATTTGTGCCAATGCAGCAGGTCCAGGTAACTTCTTTCGCAACAAACCACGAAGTCGTTGGCACTCACCCTCTAGCTTGGCAATGTTCTTAACATCCTCTGCGTGTTGTTTGTTTGCCACTTCTGCTGATCTCATAATTATATTCTTCTCTTCATTTCGGATATCCAGCTCCTTAGAAATTATATGCAGCTCATACTTCAATGAAGTTACTTCTTTTTCATATGACTGAACATTCTTCTTTAAAAGCTCTACTTCAGCCTCAGCTTCAGACTTTTCTTCTTTTAATTTCACTATTTTATTCGAACTCTCTTGAAGTGATCTCAGAAGGGCAGCATTTTCACCAGCTTTCTCAAGAAGTTCTTCATCCAATTTATCTATTTTTGCTTCAAGCTCTAACTTGATTTTCTCCCACTTCTGGGATTTCATAAGAATCACCTCCTGCAGTTTCTGCTCACTTATCTCCTTTACAGTTCTTATCTGCCTCATGCATTCTTTTAGAGCTCCATCTAAGTGAGATGCTCTCTCATCAACAGTAAGCTTTGAGAGAGTGTTAGATTCAAGTTGACGTCTTAAGGAAACAACTTCTGCATCAGCTTTCTCCCAACCTAAAATGCATAGAAGGTTGAATTAAGTCTTTCTCTTTTTTTTTCTCCCTTAACAAGTGGAACATAGAAAACAAATGATTGCTTATTTTAATTGTTATAGCTGAGTTTTTTAGTTTTTTTTTTTTTTAAATCAGTTAGTGGAATTATTTAAATTTGTGTATATGTAAGTATCACCTGAGACTGCTTCCTCAGCAACTTTTGCATGTTGTTTAACTAGATTATCCTTGGTATTTAGCTCTGAGTAAGCTGCAGATAGCTTTGCTTCCAAAGCTTTTACTTGATCCTTAAAGTTTAGAACTTGATCTTCCAATCCAGACATACGTGTGTATGACTCCATTGATATTTGAACATAGTTCTTATTTTTGCAGTTGTCCTGCTGAAAAAATATCAAAAAAGAATAGGGCTAGTGAGCAACTTAGCCAGTGACTACATACAAAAAAAAAATTCCATCCTGAACCTTCTAAAAACAAACCTGATCCACTAGATGTGCCACAGAAGACAAGGTAGAACCAACAGATTCAGATGTAGCCACTGGTTTCTCAGCTTGTATGATTTTATCAGATGATTTTTTCTTCCAGAGCCAACCCCTGCGGTCCATCTCAGAATTGTACCCTGCTCACAGCATGCTCAAATTGAGGACTAATGCACATTATTTAATCATTGGGTGAAAAGAATTTATAATATTGATATGCATAATGCATCAACAACATCTTTATCCCAAACTAATTGGGGTAGTATTGATATGTATGAATGACCAAAAATCACTTCTAGCTTCCAAAATTGTTATTATTATAAAATCAAACCAAAACAAAGAAACCAGCTAGAAATACACTTTACATAAAAAATTTGTGTCAAAGTTACAAATTATAAACACTTGAATATAAAATAATAGAAGAATAATATGTTGTGTATTGATCTGTGTCAAGGAGTTACAATATATAGAGACCCTAATGGGCTTAAGTGTAAGGCCCAAACCTAATCCAAACCTAATCCTAATACAGTCAGAATACAGTCAGACTATTTACGGATAAGACAGAATCCAATCATATCTAATCAAATCTAATCATATCATATCTAATATTCTAACACTCCCCCTCAAGCTGGTGCGTATATATTATGAGCACCAAGCTTGTTACAAATGTATTCAACCCGAGGACCTCTAAGAGCTTTAGTGAAAACATCTGCTAGTTGATTAGATGAGTTGACAAAAGCTGTCTTGATTTCTCCTGATTGAATCTTTTCCCGAATGAAGTGACAATCAATCTCTATATGTTTGGTCCTCTCATGAAAAACAGGATTAGAGGATATATGTAGTGCAGCTTGATTATCACAGATGAGTGTCATGGGTTGTTTCTGTTCACAAAGATGAAGCTCCTGAATCAACTGCTTTAACCAGATCAACTCACAGGTAGTATTTGCCATTGCACGATACTCAGCTTCTGCACTAGAACGGGAAACAACAGGTTGTTTCTTGCTTTTCCATGAGATTAAGTTTCCTCCGAAGAAGACACAATAACCAGAAGTAGAGCGTCTGTCCGAGGGTGATCCTGCCCAATCGGCATCTGAGTAACCACAAATTTCTGTATTTCCCTGATCCGAATACAACAAACCTTTTCCTGGTGCTCCTTTGATGTATCGGAGGATCCTCACAGCAGCATCCCAATGTGAATCACAAGGGGAATCAAGGAACTGACTGGCCGTACTGACAGCGAAAGAAATATCTGGCCTAGTCACAGTAAGATAATTGAGCTTCCCAATTAGCCTCCGATAACGTCCAGGATCAGATAACGGCTCCCCCTGTCCGGGTAATAACTTGACATTAGGATCCATAGGTGTATCAACTGGTTTACTCCCCAACATACCAGTTTCTTCTAGGATATCCAAGGCATATTTCCTTTGACAGATAGAAATGCCCTGTCTTGATTGCGCCACCTCAATTCCCAAGAAGTAACGCAGCTTCCCAAGGTCCTTTGTTTGAAATGTACTAAACAAATGCTGTTTTAACTGACGAATTCCGTCTTGATCACTTCCGGTGAGAATGATGTCGTCAACATAGACTAACAAATAGATACACTTATCAGGAGATGTAATCCTATAAAACACAGAATGGTCAACTTTACTGTGGATTAAGCCAAACGCCTGAACAGCAGAACTGAAACGACTGAACCATGCTCGAGGAGACTGCTTGAGACCATATAAGGATTTCCGAAGACGACACACCTTTCCAGACTCCCCCTGAGCAACAAAACCAGGTGGTTGCTCCATGTAAACTTCTTCTTGTAAATCACCATGAAGAAAGGCATTTTTGATGTCAAGTTGAAGGAGTGGCCAGTGACGAACAGCAGCAAGGGCAAGAAAGAGGCGGACTGACGCCATCTTAGCGACCGGAGAAAATGTATCGCTATAATCAAGGCCAAAGATTTGAGTAAAACCCTTGGCAACTAAACGTGCCTTGAGACGATCAATATGGCCATCAGGTCCAACTTTCACAGTAAAAACCCAGCGACAACCAACTATAGACTTCTCTGGAGGAGCATAAACAAGGTCCCAAGTGCCATTGGAATGAAGTGCAGTCATCTCATCAAGCATTGCTTGACGCCACCCTGGATGGGAAAGTGCTTCACCTGTGGTCTTAGGAATAGAAATAGAAGAAAGACTAGAAACAAAGGTGAAATGAGGTGAAGAAAGACGGTCATAACTCAAAAAGGTATAAAGAGGATAAGGGTTACGAGTAGTACGTGTACCTTTTCTTTGAGCAATGGGAAGAGTCTCCGATGAAGGATCCGGAGGGGAAGAAGCAACAGCAGTGGGCGATGAGTCAGCAAGAGTCGAGTCGACAGGAGGCACAGTTTTGCGACGCTGATAGGTGAGAAGTGGACGGTCCTCAGGTATAGAAGCAATAGGTTGCTCATCTGGAATAGAAGCACCTGCAGCTGGCAAAGACAAGTCAAGAAAAAGGACAGGAAGGACATGATCAACCTGTGACATCTGAGATGGGATAGAATTAAAGGGTTGTTGATCAAGAAAAGTGACATCAGCGGAAACTAAGTAACGCTTAAGGTCGGGAGAATAACAACGATAACCCTTTTGAAGACGAGAATAACCAAGAAAGATACACTGAAAGGCTTTGGATGTTAACTTATCCTTACCAGGAGTGAGATCATGAACAAAACAAGTACAACCAAAGACATGTGGAGTTAGAGGATAAAGAGGAACATCTGGAAGCAATAGATTATGAGGAATGTCATTGTGGAGCACAGATGAAGGCATGCGATTGATGAGAAAACAAGAGATGAGTACAACATCTGCCCAGAAGTGAAGGGGAACCTGCATATGAATAAGAAGGGTACGGGCAGTTTCAATGAGATGTCTGTTTTTACGTTCAGCCACCCCATTTTGTTGTGGAGTGTGAGGACAAGTAGTTTGATGTAAAGTACCTTGTGTGGCCAAGAAATTAGAAAAATCAATAGAAACATATTCCTTAGCATTATCACTATGTAGAATACGAATAGAAACACCAAATTGAGTCTGGATCTCAGTAGAAAACTTTTTATAAATGGAAAATAGCTCGGAACGATTTTTCATTAAATAGGTCCAAGTGCAACGGGAAAAATCATCAATAAAGGTAACGAAATACCGAAAACCTAAGACAGACAAGGTACGACTTGGACCCCAAATATCTGAATGAACAAGAGAGAAAGGGGCATCAGCTCGTTTATTGACTCGACTGGCAAAAGAGGAGCGTGTATGCTTCCCTTGTTGACATGACACACAATCTAAAGACTGAAGACCGGACAAAAGGGGAACCATTTTCTGCAACTTTGAAAGACTTGGATGACCAAGGCGACTGTGGATAAGTTGTGGAGATTCTGTGAGAGAGCATGCTACTGAAGGACGAGGCACATCCAGATAATAAAGCCCTCGTGACTCACGACCCACTCCAATCATTTTCCCCGTACCCGGATCCTGCACAGAAACAGAATGGTTAGAGAAAGTAATGGTGCAAGTGAGGGAGTGCATCAACTTACTAATAGAAATTAAGTTATAAGGGATGCCAGGAATGTAATAGACAGATGTCAGGGCCAAGGTAGAGGTCGGACGAGCTTGTCCAATCCCACGAACTGGGGTTTTGGTTCCATCCGCAAGGGTAAAAGACGGTAAATGATCAGAATAAGTAAGAGATGTAAAGAGTTCCTTATTACCACAGAGATGATCGGTAGCACCGGAGTCAAATATCCAAGTGCCAAGTGATGTAGAATGAGAAACACAAGCAACAGGATTACCAGTATAAGGCTGAGACTGAGGAGAAGCCTTCCTGAGAGGGGTTTGGAGTGCAGCATAGTCTGAACCTGAACCAAATGATGCATTGTCTGACTGAGCTATATTTGCAACAATAGAAGGAGAGTTAACCTCCGAGAGATCAGGAGATGCTGCTGCCATTTAAAGATAAAATATAAAAGCCGTAAACGAAGGCAAACGATATCCAATCAAGAAGAACCACGCGTCTAAGGTCAGACCCACAGAGAAACAATCACAGATCCAGAAAGGGGAGGAGAAGGCGAGCTTCTCTGTCCAAGACCGGCCGGAAAAAGCCGCCGGAATAGTGCTCACGCGCCGGCAGAAGGTGGCGCGTGAAGCCCACGCGCAGAGAAGACAAGTGGCGCGTGACGGCGCGTGGGAAATGCGTTGCTGACCGGACCACCACAGACCTGGTCGCCGGGAAGAGAGGGTCCTGATCGCGTGAAGTTTGGTCGGAAAAGTCGCCGGAAAAAGTCTCCGGTTGCCTGAACAGTGATTCTGACGGCGGGCGGTGGTTCCGGTGGCCGTCGGAGGTGCTGACACGTTTGGAAAAATCACTCAGAGGCTGTTTACAGCCCTAGAAGGCTTGCCGGAAGGACGCACGGCAAGAAAGAGGACTCCTAAGCAGTGGGCTTAGGTTTTAAAGCAAAAAACAAGGTTTCTAAGCGGAAGCGAGGGTTCCCAGAACGAAAGAGCTCTGATACCAACTTGAATATAAAATAATAGAAGAATAATATGTTGTGTATTGATCTGTGTCAAGGAGTTACAATATATAGAGACCCTAATGGGCTTAAGTGTAAGGCCCAAACCTAATCCTAATACAGTCAGAATACAGTCAGACTATTTACGCATAAGACAGAATCCAATCATATCTAATCAAATCTAATCATATCATATCTAATATTCTAACATAAACCTTTTAGTATCCAATCAATTTTTCATAATTATAATGCTTTATAACTTCTTCTTTTTTGTTCATCTACCTCAGACCCCAACTAGTTTGGGATAAATGTGTTTTGTTGATGTTGATGATAATGCTATAATGCGTTTGCATTCCCATAAAAGAATTTTATTATAAAAAAAAAAAGGCCTTCCCATCATCAATATGAATCCAAATAAGCCCTTTTTTAAATTTTAAACCATGGTTTCTCTCAAAGCTAAACTATTCTGTTTTGCATATTCTTAATGTCGTATCAAGATTGCCATTGCTGAATAAGTTACTTATATATTCTGCTAAACAGCCTAAACTGAACATGGAAATTTTGAAGAAAATAAAAATACAGAGTCTAACATTGCTTCTCTCTTTCGTTCTGCCTTCATTTTCCCTACATTTAAATTTAGCTTAGAACATATCAACAACCTCATGAACTTCAAAAGCCACTAAAAGAACCCCAGAATCAATCAGCAGTAACTAAGCAGAATGCACTAACTACCCCATTCCGCAGAAAAATCACTTGTTTGCAATATTTTATATATATATATATATATATATATATATATGGGGCAGGATATTCTTACACCGATGTAAGAGTTAGAAGTCTTACACTCAATCTTGACCATTGATCCACTTGTATCCAATGGATCACGTTACTAAAAAATTAGAGCCCTTAGATATAAGTGGGATTAACGGACAAGATTGAGAGTGTAACTTAGTAAAATGATCCTTACCCTATATATATATATTGTAAGTATTATTTTGCAACATATAAGTATAAGCTGACACACTGATATTAACAAAACATGGTACAAGAAATATACAAGAGAAGTATAATTTTTTTTTTCCTGTATCTCCAAGAGAGAGAGAGAGAAGTATAACTTACCCAAAAAGAAGAAAAAAGAATGAGGTTTTTTCAGTTTCTGTGATGGAAACAAGGAAAGCAGAATGGAAATGGGGGTTAGATTTGAATGGCTGTGTTGGCTCCTTGAGTCTTCAAAGAGTGAGTTAAGTGTTTGACTCTGTTAACAGTGAAGAGAAGAGAGAGAGAGGAGCGGAGTTTAAGGTAAGGGACTAATGGCCAAACGTACGCGTGCACGGTCACTGCTTAAACGCTCCTGCGGCTCCACTTGAATAAAATAATATAAATTTAAAAACTACTAAAAAATAAAAAGGAAGAAGTTCAAAAAAAAAACATATGATTTTCCTTTGAATCAATTAATTTTTTTGTTTCTTTTTTAATCACTTATATATCTGTAATTTTTTTCATTCAAGTCCTTATATAACATTGTTAAAAATTTGATAAATTTGTCTATTCTACCCTTTTATATCATCTTATTTCTCAAGCTTTAAAAGGGTTTATAATAATACAATCAAATTTCCTTTCATTATCCAATTTCAAAAAAAATTGTGAAGTGACACATGATTGGTGATAGGAACATAAGAAAACAATTCTAATGATATTTTAACCAAATAATTTTATTAAAAAAATATTAAACCAAAAAAACTAAATGTCTAAGAATCCATTGATACATTTTCTCCCATATATGAGTAAATAGAAGTAGTATTATTCAACTAACCAGAATTTTTTTTTTTTTGGATATTGACTAACCAGAATTTTAACATCAAGCAACAAATCCAAACACATCAAGCAAAAAACCAAAATAGTAAGTATAATCCATATTTTATGCATAATCTATTGGAATCATATCAACAAATTAGGAACTTGAATGTGTTTAGCTCCAAGTTACTTTAATAAGAATGAATTTGGAATTTGTCAAGTCATGGAATCATTGAAATAACGCAACATCTTCTGTTTCTGGGGCTTAGTCCCTCTTTATTTACAAAAAAAAAAAAAAATAACGCAACATCAGAATCAATTTTTCTTTAATTAAATAAATAAATAAATAATGGTACGTATATATTTAATTATTTAAAATTTGGAAAAGTAGAAGAACAAATTAGAAGAGAGGATGAAGGAAGGCCATTAATATTATTTAATTATTTCATTTTTAATAAAAATTATTTTGCCTAAAATCTCATTGTAACTGTTGTAAAGAACCAATTCAACCCAACACAGTTGCGTTGAATTGGTTCTTTATATGGTATTAGAGCTTCAGTGACCACAAGGTTATGAGTTCGATCCTCACTTTCCTCACTTGTAAAATTAAATAAGTATAAGATAAACCAAAAAGAAAGAAAAAATTGAGCCTCTATAATATCTACGCTTCAAGTCCAAAGAGTTCTTGCATGATGGAGATGTTAGAGAATAATATAAACCATTAGAAAGGCTCTCACCCAATACCTTAAGATTTTGAGTTGAAGTATTTTTTTTACTCCTTAAAATTTTGTATTGAAATGATTTTTTATAACTGTAATTTTTATGTTCCTATCACTAGTTATATGTCACTTCACAATTTTTTATTTGAATTGGATAATGAAAGAAAATTTGATAGTATTGTTAAAACACCTTTCAAAGCTTGAGAAGAAAGATGACATAAAAGGTAGAATAGACTCATTTATCAAATTTTTAACGGTGATGAGTAAGGACTTAGATGAAAATATCACAGGAGGCAAAATGATTAAAAAAAAACATAGAGAGCTAAGTAATTCAAAAGGAAACCATTTGGGGGTTTTTAAATTTTTCCCAAATAAAAAGGTGATGAATGTCGAAACTGGAGATGGGTACATCTTTTTTTTCAAATAAAGAGTAATATAATTATTATTTTTATTTTACCCATTTTTCTGATTTAGGGGAGATATCTTAATCTCTTGTCTTGATTTGTAGTTTATTTTTTTTAGTAGTAATAATTCTATGAAAAGCACGCTTAAATAGATTTACATGAGTTACTCAGTCAATAAGTTGATTAAACTTTAGGAAGTATATGTGATATCTTGTGAATATTCACAACTAATGACTGCCATGATATTGCATTGAGTTGCTTGAGTTTATGATTGCTTGTTTGAGTGATTTTCTTTTTGAGAATTTTTAGATAATATTTTGATGTGAAAATTAGGAATTAGATTCTAGCTTGAAACCATAGTCTGTGAGGTTTGAGCCTAAACAATTAATTTTTTTTTAAAGGCCTCACTGTGGTACTCTAGAACTTGATCTGTTTCTCTGTGATGCATGCATGAATTGAAAGGATAAATACACTTTTATTTTTGTTAACCACTTGGCCAAATAACCCACCTGAAAAGAATTTTTTTTCCATTGCTAGCCCCTTTGAGCCTTAGCCTAATTTTTGTTTAATTTCCCAAAAATTACTTAGCTGATATTCCTTTTGACTCACCCTTGTATGAGATTGAAATACTTATCAATGAAAATTCAAGGTGAAGTTCTCCATTAAAAGTTAAGTGATAAAAAGGAAAATAGTACTTCAAAGAAAAAATAATATGTCTGAAAAAAGGATGTGCAAAGGAAAAGAAAGAAATTGTGAAAGAAAATTTATGCTTTAAATTACTAGCAAGAAGAAAGAGAAAGGTGGTGAAAAAAGAATAAAAATCATGAATTGAAATAAAGAAAATAGTGAAATCTCTTGGGGAGGGGGCTGAACCTTTAGCCATCACTGTTCCCCCGCACTCCGGATTAGTCTCATAGCCGGCTCAAAGAGTCGAAGCTCGTGGGGATACCGGAGTGAGCCAACTCGTCTCAAAGAGATAATTAGGGTTGGGTAACTCCAAAAAAAGAAAATAGTGAAATCATTGTTTGAGAGTTGACTGAGCCTTGAATTGAATTAAATGTGTTTAAATCTCACACAATAAAATTAGCTAGTTTTCACATATTCCTACCCTCACACCATACCACGTTACAACCCTGAAAAGACCTTTTGATCAATTTCTGCATGTTATGTATGTTCCTCATCTTTAGGAACTTGAGAATAAGATCAAGCCTATGGCAGTATTATTACACTGATAGATTGAGAGATTATACCCCAAACACTTGAGTGATGAGTGTATTGTTTATCTTAGTGAGGCGTATTCAAGTTAGATTCTAATTTTCTTTTTAAAACTGAAAAGTCTTGTTTGGAATTCTCAACACTGAAAATCATTCATGCTTAGCATAGTACTCTAATGAGCTTCTGCTCTAAATTATTTGTTTGATGCGGTGTTATGCTTGAATTTTATCTGTATCTTCTCATAAGGTCAAGTTCCTACTTCATAGTGTTTATTCTAGTTTATTGCTGAGGACATCAATGTCTAAATCTTGGAATTATTTGATGAGTCTCCAATTTATTATGTATTAAGGGTTAATATGAGCATGAAATTAATTTAAAAGTAATTAAAAATTATGAGAATTATAATTAAATTATTATTTTATTCTCCGTAGTATTCTCATAAAAATTCTTATATTTTGCAGTAATTTTCTGCTCAATAAATAGATAAATTGGAGAGCTCAAGTGGATTTGCTTTAGATTTCTGAATCATATAATTCATTGAAGATCTTATTAAATCTTCCCTTGAATATTTTTAAGAAAGTTTTCCGTTAGATATAAAAGGAAAGATTTGAAAGATTTGATTAAAGATATGATTAGAAATTCTAGTGAAGAATCCATTGAAAATATTATGGAAAATTAAAAGATATGGTTTCATCACTATAAAAAGGCAACTCTTGGAAACACAGAGAGCAAGCACATTCAGAGGAAGGAAGAGAGCACCTGACCCCAGAGTTGGAGATTTCGAAGAAATAGGAGCTTGAAGGAGATTGAGCAACATTGATTCTTCTTCTTCTTCTTCTTCGTGACTTCTTCTTCTTCTTCTTCTTCTTTTTCTTTGTTTTGTTTAAGCCAGCTATGTCTGGCTAGTTTTCTTTTGTAGTTAGGGTCGTGGATATGATGTGAACCCTTTTGATATTTGATATATTTTCATAATTCTTTTATTTCAATTAGTTTTATTTTACCTTGAATAAAATTTTTATATCCTTATTAGAATTGATCACTCTTATAAGGCCTTGAGGGTTAGAGCTTATAATAGACATATTGAAATTTTAATTCTGACTGGGGTAGGATAACAATTTGGGCATGATCTAGACATAGGCTTGTATGAATTGCAGACTTCTTAATTCATTGAACTTAATGCTTAATTCAAGAAGGATTACTAAGACATTATAATTTTATTTGGGTTAAATACACTAAGACCTTAGGGTTTAACCAATTAATTTAAAGATGAATTGTCAGAATAATTGAAATAATTGATTATAAGAATTAATTTAGACTAATAAGGGGGATCAAAGGTGAAGTGTAACCTGGCTACAGTTCTTTATTATAATTTCGTAATCGTTCTTGCATGTTCTTGGTAGTTTTTACAATTACTTTTCGTTTTATTTTAATTCAACAATTATTCTCTACATCAAAGTGATTTGTCCAAATTAAAAGGAATAGTGAGAATAGTACTTGGTGCATTAATCCTCGTGGGACGATACTCTACTCACATTTTATTACTTGAAACGTTCGGTATACTTGTCGTAATCGCAACACAGACATGCCATCTTCCTAGGGCGGTCTGTGATGACATTGAGAAAAGGTCCAGGATGTTCTTATGGGGCTCCATTTTAGATAAAAGGAAGATCCATGCTATAGCTTGGGAGAAGGTTTGCCAGCCAAAAAAGTTGGGTGGTATTGGCATTAAAATAATGAAAGAGAATAATCAAGCTTTCATTATGAAAGTGGCGCACGATATTCATACTCAGAGGATAAGCCTATGAGCTTGTGTTCTCAGGAACAAATATGGAGTGAGCGAGGATCTCATCCCTGAACTGAAAGTGAAAAGTCAAGCCTCTAACCTTTGGAAGGTGGTGATGCGTGTTTGGTCGAAAGTTGCTGAAGGGACGAGAATTAAAGGTTGGTAATGGTCAGCACACTAATTTTTGGATGGGTAAGTGGTTGCCGCTGAATGATAGGGTTATTGTCAAGGAAGATGTTCAGGTTCCTGAGAATGACAGCGACTGGATCGTGAACAAGATGGTAAATTCCTAGGGGAACTGGAATTGGGACCTCTTATCCCAACTAAGGTCCCCTATTTCGTGTGTCATTATTGCCAACATTATGTCTCCCAATCTTGAAAAGGGGGACGACTTCGTTGTTTGGGGATTGACTGGTGATGGTTTGTTCTCTATGAAGTCTGTGTATGACATGTTAACAAACGGGGAAAATAAGGGTACAAGCAATCCTAGTGAGAAAGCATGGTTGTGGAAGGGTCCGAATAGGGTGCAGTCGTTCCTTTGGCTGGCTATAGGTAACAACATATTAACTAATGAGAGGACGTTCCACAGACATTTAACGAAGAACGTCGTGTGTCCTAGATGTAAGGAGAGTATCGAGGATCCACTCATATTCTTCGTGATTGTAGTTGGAGCAAAGCTTTGTGGAACCACTTCGAATCGGAGAAGAGATGGACTGGGTTTTTCTCCTCACAAGGCCAACAGTGGCTCTGCCAGAACTTAGATTGTAGAACTAGGGTGCACAACTATGAGTGGAGAGAGATCTTTGGTGTTATTTGCTGGCTCGTGTGGAAGGACAGGAATAGCCTTGTGTTCGAAAACAAATCTACCTCTCAGGATTCGATAATAAGGAAAGTGAAAGTTTTTGTTTCGCAAGTGGAGATCGTACGTAGGGAGCTATATCGCCAAGGTTTGAAGGTGCACGAGAAGGAGAAAAGATTCGTTTGCTGGAAATTTCCTGAAGAAGGGTGGTGCAAACTCAACTTTGATGGCTCCTATATAGATAGAGGTAGGAAGACTAGTTGTGGTGGTGCCATTAGGAATGCATCAGGCAACTGGATGAAGGGTTCTTGTAGAAATATTGGTGATGGTACCTCCACTAGAGCGGAGTTGTAGGGTTTGTTACATGAACTTGAAGTAGCTTGCAAGATGGCATTCTGAAACTCTGGGTTGAAGGGGACTCTCAAGCAGTTATACAGTTGGTGTCCAAACAATGTGAGATGCATCATCCTTTAGCCCCTTTGGTCAATAACATCAGAGATTTGATAGGTAGATCATGGAACCTCAGATTTAGTCATTCTTACAGGGAAGACAATATGCTTGCGAACACATTAGCTAGATTAGGTTATTCTTTTGACGATTGGGACATGCATATTTTTGAGCATCCCTCTAGGGACTGTATTGTTTTGTTAGACAGTGACATGAGTGGCACTTCTCATCCAAGAATTTGCCCTGTTTTGTAATCTATTTCCTTCACTTTCAAAAAAATAATAACATGCATGCAGTTTCAATGCTTCTTATTACATTGCGGCAAAGGTGAACTGTTGCGACTTTGGCAAGTGCATTGGTCGTACAAGTAATAAAGTGATAAGATTAAGTTGTCGATCTCACGAGGACTGATGACCAACCACTAATTTATCTATTTAATTAAAGTTGGATCGATCGTGAACGAGTTCTTGAGAATATTTTAATTAAATTAAAACAGAATTTTAAACTACTTATTTTTAGTTTTCAATATTCAAGAAATTAAATTTAAAATTAATAAATGCTAGAAAATTGGATTTAAGTTTTTATAAAAGACGTAGCTTGGACTTAACTTCCCAATGGTTTTCAAACTAGTTTACCTATTCGTATAATTACATTCAAGATCCATTTATTAAATGTTCTTTCTATATTCGATTAAATCCCAATCACTTGGTAATCTAATCATTTATTTCACTTAAAAGCCTAATCCCTTAGTATTTTTTCATAAAATAAGCATTAAAGTAAGAACCTATAGAATTCATAAGTCTATCCCTATATCATACAAATTCCACCAATCAACCAATCAGAATCATACACCAACATCCCTATTGTCATGCACGACTCATATGTTTATCTACGAGTGATCAGTTCATAAATAAAGCTAATAAATAAGAAACAGATTGATTGCATAAGTTTAAATCATAAATATAAATTATAAGAAAGCCCATTGGTTCCGTCTCGCCCTAACTACTTAAAGAAAATTAGCCTGACATAGTCAGGAAAACGAGAACAATAGATAAAAAGAAACTAAAATTCATAAAAGAAAAATAAAACTCGGTCTCCACGGTGAAGCTTTGACCATTCCTTCGCTCCTCTGCCTTCTGAATGCGCTCCTCTGTCTCCTCTTCCGAATAATATAGAACACACCATCATGTGTCCTTTTAAAGAAATAAATTGGGCTTTTTAATAATTGGATTAGCTCGCTGAACAAGAATTAATATTGATTAATTCTTTATTTTTCTTTATCTTTATTCTTTGCAATTGCCTTTATCCCTTAGAATTGGTGATTTGTTACTTTAAACTTAAAACAACCTAAAACAATATGAAAATAGATTAGAATCTTATCCAGTTGTTGGTATTTTAATATCTTTTAGATTTTATTAAATAACACTATATTTTTAATCATATTAATTATTATTTAAACTATATTTGACATTAAAAACATAGTGTCTTTGACACTTATGATGAACTGTGCCAAGCTGCTGCAAGACATTCACATAATGAAAATATTTGTATAAAAGTCCAACTCAGGTAATATTTTCAGGCCTTAATCCAATCTACTTCTTTTCGATTCACCATTTCATTAGACTAGATTTAACGTGGTCCATCAAACCTATTTGGGCTTATTGGGTCCATACTCAACGGGGCCCAATTTCTCTGCTAGGTCAAAAGACAAAACGGCGTCGCCTTCTGCTATATATTATAACGTGAAGAAGAAACCCTAATCTCTGAGCTCTCCTTCCATTGGCGCGGCACAGTTAGAGTAGAAGTTGATCGGGATGGGAAGGGTCATTCGCGCTCAGCGTAAGGGTGCTGGGTCGGTGTTCAAGTCCCACACTCACCACCGCAAGGGTCCGGCGAGGTTCCGCAGTTTGGACTTCGGTGAACGAAACGGTTACCTAAAAGGTGTGGTCACCGACATCATCCACGACCCAGGTCGCGGTGCCCCCCTTGCGAAGGTCACGTTCCGCCACCCGTTCAGGTACAAGAAGCAGAGTGAGCTGTTCGTCGCCGCCGAAGGCATCTACACCGGCCAGTTCATCTACTGCGGTAAGAAAGCCACCCTCGTCGTCGGTAACGTCTTGCCACTCAGATCCATCCCCGAAGGTGCTGTCATTTGCAACGTCGAACACCATGTCGGTGACCGTGGTGTATTCGCTAGGGCTTCTGGTGATTATGCTATTGTTATCAGCCACAACCCCGATAACGATACCACTAGGTATCTCTTCTTCCATTCAACTCTCAAGTTTCCATTTAAAAAAAAAATTATGATTCGTGATTCTGTTCTAGTCTTAAATCTGAGAATTTGACTGTGATATAGATTTGTAAATTTTCATTATACTGCATATAATTGAAATAATTACGATTTTGAAGTGCGTTTGTGTGATAACGAGTAATGCGGTTGAATTGCTTAAGGAAGTTTTTTTGTTGTGGTGACTTGTGGAGTTTGATTATATATGTGCACTTTCTTCATAGGATCAAGCTTCCTTCTGGTTCAAAGAAGATTGTGCCAAGTGGGTGTAGGGCTATGATAGGGCAGGTGGCAGGTGGTGGAAGAACTGAAAAGCCTCTTCTTAAGGCTGGTAATGCTTACCACAAGTTTAGGGTGAAGAGGAATTGCTGGCCTAAGGTACGTGGTGTGGCTATGAACCCAGTTGAGCATCCTCATGGAGGAGGTAACCACCAGCATATTGGGCATGCTAGTACTGTCAGGCGTGATGCTCCTCCTGGCCAGAAGGTTGGTCTCATTGCTGCTAGGAGGACTGGTCGTCTCAGGGGACAAGCAGCTGCTACTGCTGCTAAAGCTGATAAGACTACTTGAAGAGATTGTTAGGATTTTCATTGATTGCAAGTTTTCAAATTTTGTTTCTTTCATAGTTTATGTTGAATTGTTTGGGTACTATTTTGAGAATCGTTTCCTTCCCATAAATATGAAGATTTTAATTGACAGTATTTTATATTTGTTTAAGATCTATTCAAACCTGCTGTTAATTGATTTCCACTAGTTTTAGTGCTTGAATTTTATTTTATTTTTTCGACCACTACAGTAGTACCATGCCATATCTATAATTAAATTCAATTGTTAGGCTGGTCTGCTGGTGGTAAGTGCTGTGTTATTCCTCTTTTCGTGGAGGTTAAGGAATGGTTGTTTGTTTAAGGAGACTTTTTCAGTCTGGATTTTGAGTTAGTGCGTGTTTGTAGAGTCTCCCTTGTTATTCCGTGACTAGTTTAGCTGAATTGTGCTGTTAGTTTGTTTCAGAATACATAATTACATGCGGCATCCATTAAGACTGCTAGTTCGTTTCAGTATTCATTTACAAAGAGAGGGCACATTTGCAATTAACGGTTAGAACTCAGAAGGCGAAAATAGATTAAAGGTTATTCAATAGATGATATATTTTATAATATTGTTTTCTAAAATCCGGAAAAAAAAATCTCGGTTCTTTTTCCCGTTGTAAGTTTCTGCACACTGCAGGCTTCTTCTCATCTTGAGCATTCAAAATTCAATACTTGTCCGCTTTACCGAATCAGTTATAATTTTCAAATTTCTACCCAAAAAAAAAAAACTCGAGATTATCTATGAATGCGTATAAGTTGGAAGTTGTATTCGTGTAAATTTTAAGTGGACGGCAATCAGTCAATCACATAGATGTATTAATATATTTTTATTCTTTTGTTTACTTTTCTGTTTTTAGTGAGAGGTGTCCATTTTATGTTTTGGTGAAAGGTGTGTATTACGTGCCTTATGCTTGTACGTGTACTTTTTGTTAGAAAGTTTTGTTTTTGGCCTTTTTGTTTTGGCCTCCTTTAGTCACTAATATATACATTGTAGCTCTGTATTTTTTTTACAGAACAATTAATCAAATAAGATGATTCAGTTTTCTTCATGTTTATGCTTTTCCAAAACTAACATGGTTTCAGATGTTTTCTTCTAGCCCTTGCTTCTCTCATGGCTCGCGACACTACCAACGTTGCTCGTTCATCTACTACTGAAGCCTCATCTGGATCCTCTGCATCCATGGACGATTCATCTAGTCCTTGTTTTTTGCAGAGTGGTGATCATCTGGGTTTGGTTCTTGTTACCCACACCCTTTCTGGATCTAATTTTCATTCATGGATTCGAGCCATGACTCTTGCTTTGACTGCCAAGAATAAGTTGGCATTTGTGGATGGCTCTTTATTTCGACCCCCATCTACTGATCTCCTTTTTCAGCTTGGAATCGATGTAATTCCATGGTCATTTCATGGTTGTTGAATTCTGTTACCAAAGAAATAGCTTATAGTCTTTTATATTTTGCAATTGCTTCTGAAGTTTAGTCCGATTTGAAGACTCGATATTCGCAGGCAAATGGCCCTAGAATTTTTCAATTGAATCAGCAAATTTCTTCTCTATGTCAAGGATCTCTTGATATCACCAGTTACTACACTAAGCTGAAGTCTCTTTACGATGAGCTCCATGATTATCTTCCTCTTCCGCGGTGCACTTGCGATACTCTTCACGAGATGACTTTCAGAAATGACCAAGATCATGTTCTACAGTTCTTAATTGGACTATATGACTCATTCTATGTTGCTCGTGCTCAGATTTTACTTCTTGATCCATTACCTTCTCTTGCAAAGGTTTTCTCCATGATCCTTCAAGAGGAACGTCGCGTCAACTTTCAGTGTCACTATCGATTCCTGCTATTCCAGATACTCTGTTGATGCATTCAGTAACTGATTCTTCTCCGGCATCCATGGCCGTTGCTGCTCAACGCCGTCCACGACCAACATGCACATACTGCCATTTATCTGGTTATACCTGGGAGAAGTGCTTCAAACTCCACGGGTATCCACCAGGTTACAAACCCAAGTCTCCTAGGCCCATTAACTATTCATCCTCACCTCAAGACCATTCCCTCCAATCGGTCGATTGCATTACCCGTGATCCACAACCCACACCCAAGCCTATCCCCAAGTCTCTGTGGTCAACTGCATCTTCGACACCTAATCCCTCCACTTCCGATGCTTCCCTTTTCTTCACACCTACACAGTACAATCAGTTGCTTTCTCTCTTACATCAGAGTTCTGCATCATCTTCAGTCGCTTCCTCTGTTGCTGAATCGTCTCCTTCGTGGCGAGTTTCAGTGGTAAGCCTTCGTTCCCTTTTCCTCCATCTTGTGGATGCTCATATTGGTGCTACGCACCATGTATGCATCACTACTGTCTTGTTTCACTCTTCTTCTCCGGCCAGCTCTTCTGTTGTTCTTCTTAATGGAACTTCCGTTGATGTGTCTGCTGTTGGATCTGTTTACTTTTCTGCTTTTTTTTCTCTTCTTAATGTTCTCTGTGTCCCTACCTTTTTCTTCAATCTTTTATCCATAGGAGCATTAACCAGAGACTCTCCTATCATTGCTAATTTTTTCTCTTCTTATTGTTTTCTTCAGGACCGTGTTTCGGCTCAGATGATTGGGATTGTTAAACGTTGTGGTGATCTCTGTATTTTGGACAGTAAATGTATCCTTCCCACTGTTGATATTTCCCCTCTCCTTTGTTTTTCCTTAAATGTCCGAGATCTCATTCATGGCACTCTCGACTTGGTCATCTCTCGGTAAATATTTTGAATTCAATGAAAAGTTTTTTAGGATTTTCTGATAATTTGCATGTGTCTCATCATTGTCCCATATGTCCCCTAGCCAAGCAAAAACGGCTTCCATTTATTTTAAATCCCACACTTTCTGCATCTCCATTTGATTTACTGCATTTTGATGTATGGGGACCTTTTCATACTCCATCTGTGGAAGGTTCTAAATATTTTTTAACTATAGTGGATGATTCCACCCGATTCACATGGACATATTTTTTGAAGAGCAAATAAGATTTTTCTTCAGTTTTTACTGCGTTTCACACCTTGATTCATACTCAATATGGTGTTCTCATTAAATCCATTAGGTGTGACAATGCTCCTGAATTCAATCTCTCCTCCTTTTTTTCGTCCAAAGGTATTCAAGTGTTCCACTCTTGTGTAGAATGTCCACAGCAGAACTCTGTTGTTGAGAGAAAGCAATAGCATCTTTTAAATGTAGCCCGAGCCTTACATTTTCAATCTCAAGTTCCCTTACAATACTGGCAAGATTGTGTCCTTTCAGCTGTCCACATAATTAACTGTACCCCTTCTTCTCTTCTCTCTTCTAAGACACCATTTGAACTCCTTTCCCACAAAGCTCCATCTTATGATCACCTTCGTGTGTTTGGTTGCCTGTGTTATCGTTCCACCCTTCCCAAACATCGTCATAAATTTTCACCTCGTGCTTCTGCTGCCAGCTTTCTTGGATACCCTACTGGCTATAAGGGTTATAAACTTTTAGACATAGAATCCAATTCTACTTTTATTTCTCGCGATGTAATTTTCTTTGAACACATTTTTCCTTTTGTCTTAAACACTTCCCTACCCTCATTCAATACTGAATTTTTAAGTTTACCATCTTCTATACATTCATCTACTACTTCGGATGTCTCCCCACCAAACCAACCCTCCTTGAGACCTAAGAGACCTCATAACCCTCCTCCACACCTCACTGATTATATAAGTTCCTCTTCCACCCAACACCCTTTGTCCAATTTTTTTTCTTACCATCGTTTGTCTGCATCTCATACAACCTTTGTGAATTCAATTTCATCTCATTTTGAGCCAACCTCCTATTCTGAAGCATCACAACTACCAGAATGGTAGGATGCCATGGAATCTAAAATTTCAGCTCTTGAATTGAATAAAACTTGGACTATTATGTCTCTTCCTAAGGACAAGCATGTGGTTGGATGTCGTAGGATTTATAAGGTAAAATACAATTCGGATGGCACTCTTGAACGATATAAGACCCGTTTGGTAGCTAAAGGTTTTACTCAACAAGAGGTATTGATTTCATAGACACTTTTTCACCCGTTGGAAAGTTAACAATTGTCAGAATTATTCTTGCTTTAGCTGCTGTTTTTATTTGGACACTTATTCAATTGGACGTTAATAATGCATTTCTGCATAGGGACTTGTTTGAAGAGGTTTACATGCAGTTACCTCCTGGATATTCTTCACGGTTCCCTTCTCTTTCACCTAATGCAGTTTGCTGCCTTCATAAGTCTTTGTATGGACTTCGCCAAGCATCTAGGAAGTGGTTTGCTAAGTTTTTATCTACTTTATTGCAGCTTGGTTTTACTCAATCCCAATCTGATAATTCATTATTTGTAAGATCTGATGCTTCCTGTTTTATTGCAATTTTGGTGTATGTTGATGACATCATTGTAGCTTCCAACAGTCCCTTTGAAGTTCAGTCCCTTACTGGTGTTTTAAATGATAAATTTCGGTTGAAGAATCTGGGAAACTTAAAAAAAATTCTTGGTCTAGAGGTGGCTCATAGCACCAAAGGGATCATTATCTGTCAACGTCATTATGCATTGTACAAGTGTGCAAAGGGGGGGGGTGTGTATGGCAATGATGGCTCTACCAAGTGGGCAGAGTGACAGCATAGTCGAGAGTGGAGAAGAAGATCCCCCCTCCATGTGTGAGGGGGGTATTTAGATAGGAGAGTCCTCTTTTGGGGGAGACCGCCGGTCCTCCCTCTGCTGTCTCCAAGCCATGTCTTGTCATTAGACAAGACATGCTGCTCCTGTCAGTGTACAGGGGCAGCTGTGCAGGAAGGAGAATGCCTCAGTGATGACTCTCTATGGCTTCTCATGGGTGCCCTCTAGAAGGTTCTCGATGTGAGCTTAAGAGATTGGACCCAACTGGTGGGCCTGAGGTGTGGATCCGGAACACCTTTATATTGTTGTTTTGATTGAAAATAATTAGCTTGCTCAGATAATGGGTTGTTTCTCAAATGAAAAATGAAAACTTCAATTGTTTTCCTTAACTGAGGATTACTTACAGAGAAGGCGCAGGTTAAGAAGAGTTGCTATTCCAAATAGTCAGACATTGTCTCTTTTGGGTCGAGATCTTCGTGAGGCTCATTTACAGGTGCTGTAACAAGAGAACATGACGAGGGAGGAAGAAAAGTCATGGCAGGAGGCATGGAGGAGAAGGAGAGGGGCCGCAGGATTTGGTTGTGGAGAAGATGATGGATACATTGGGTTATTATATTTTCAGAAATAAAGAAAAAAGAGAAAAAGACAGCCACTTAAGATACGAGTCGTTTTATATCCTATTTAGAATCTTATTCTGCGACTTAACGGTCCACGTAAGAGACGTTAGTAACGACGTTGGAACCCCACTAACTGAAGGAATAACGTGGGCCTAATTTGAGAAAATTAGAGATCACGAATTATCTTTTTTATTGCTAGGGACTAAAGAGGACATCGTAAAATCACTGAGAACCAAAAAAGATATTTACTCTAAAAGGTGTTATATGGTAATAGATAATCTGCGCGGATCCATTACAATTCTAATGTGTAGACTTAGACGTGCATAGGATATAGCGATCCTGGGGAAATGACAATTTTTGTCACATTTTGTAAACTATGTACCAAAATATACAGTTGAGAAACTATTTTACAATCTGCCATGATTAAAGTCCTACTACTAGGTTTAATAGGACACTTACACAGCAGGACTTGTCTCGCTATTTTTTTAACTTCTCATTTTTTTCTTCAAAGGAGAAGTCGGACAAAATATTTTTTTACGGGGAAAAATTAGGCCAAATACTTTTTTTTTACAGAAGTTCTTAAAAATAATTTTTTTATAAGAAATTCTAAAGAAGATATTTCAGCTTATAATTTTTTTTTTCTTTAAAAAAAAAAAAAGACACGCTAACTTTTTAGAAAGTTAGTATTTTCATTCAATTTATATTCTTATTTTAAATTTTCATTTTCAATTTTAACCCTTAACCTAAAACTCATATCTAGACATTTCTCTCACATCATCTCCCCTTTTCCCACCAAAACATGCACACAGAAAAACACAGAGACAAGGGTTTATTTGATTTTTGTTCTATAGAATAGTGTTTTAATTTTAAAAACAAAAAAACTATTTGGTATGAGTTTTCTACATTTGCTGATCTAAAAACAACCTCTGTTCTTCAACATTTAAAACAGAAAATAGAGAATAACTGTTACTTATTTTTATTTTTTTTCCTGACTTGCCCTTACAAGATATAGAAATACGACAAATAACATCTCATTAATGGAACAATGACCATTTTATCACATTTTTCCAAATTATTTACTAGACTGCCACGTCAAAAGTAAAAATTTCTGGAATGCCACGCGGCATAATTTACTACACTGTGCAGCGAATTATGCTTGCAAATAATTCGCTACACAAGCATAATTCGCTACACAGTGTAGCGAAATATGCCATGTCAGGCTGCACAGTCAGCAGTAATGACACATATCAAGCAGGCACTAATACAAGCATAATTCGCTACACAGTGTAGCGAATTACTGCCAGCTTGACATGTGTCATTTTTGCTGACTGTGCAGCCTGACATGACATATTTTGCTACACTGTGGAGCGAATTATTTGCAAGCATAATTCGCTGCACAGTGTAGCAAATTATGCCGCGTGGCATTCTGGAAATTTTTATTGTTGACGTGGCAGTCTAGTAAATAATTTGGGGAAGCGTGACAAAATGGTCATTGTCCCCTCATTAATGGCAATCTGATAATTATAATAAAATAGATTTATGTTCTTCTTTTTCTACAAAATAGTTTTAAAAACAAAAAAAAAATTGAGAATACAATCAAATTGAGTCTGAAGTAAAATTGTTCTTTGTAATTGAAAGGTTTGAATCCGGAAAGTGTTTTTTTTTTTTTACCTCAGCTTTTGTCTTGTACGCTTTTTTGTTAAGAACAAAACTAATTGAAGATTTTGGCTTTCTCTTCAGGTCTGGCATATATGAAGATCCGTTAATGATATTTTTGTAAATAAATTTAATTTCTGTTTAATTTGTGGATCTTCGGTTACTCTGCAACTCCACAAATGAGAGTGGGAACGCTTCTACCGACACAACACAACTAGCCATTCAACCACGGTTGTGGTCTTGTGGATGACCTAAAGAAAGAGAAATTATATACACACAAAAAAAAAAATAACCGTTACAAAAAATTAATAAACAAATTGTAGAAGCAATGAATAATATACTTTTCTGCTAGTCGTTCCCCACACCCTTATATATCTCCTTTTTTGTGAGTTTTTTTATTGTCGTTATTTTTTAATTTTAAGAAAATCATATTTTTTTTTTTTTTTGTAAATAAAGAGGGGCTAAGCCCCAGAAACAGAAAGAAATTACAAATCAGAAACTAACAAGCTAGACATATTTCTAGCATCAGCAACTATAAGTTCCATCAACTGAGGAGGAGGATCTTTAAAAATCTTGAAATGGAGATTATTAGTCTGCCCAGCTTTAGCTAACCAATGAGCACATTTGTTGTTTTCTCTTTTGGTATGAACAAGATGAATAGTCCAATCTGCTTTTAACCATAATCTCAATTTGCTAGTGACTTGAGAGTCCCTAGGATCTTCATGCTGCTCCTTTAACATCTGGATGGCTTGGCTAGAATCACATTCTAGCTCTATTCTTTTTAATCCTGTTCCCCAAAGCAGTTCCAAACCTTTCAGTAATCCCCATAATTCTGCATCAAGAGGATTGCAGGAACCTAAATTACAATAGAAGCTTCCCAAAAAGGATCCATTGTGATCTCTTAATATACCACCACAACTAGCTTTTTTCATGCCACTAGAAGAAGCTCCATCACAATTCAACTTAACCCACCCTTGCTTGGGGGCTGTCCAAACGCTATCGTTGGAATCACCACGGCGCTGATAAATTCGGGCTTGCAGAATCTGTTGGACAAACATCCAAATTGAAGCCTGTGATTGCTCATCATGACAGAAATGATCTTCATGGATCTCCAAATTTCTCCACTTCCACAAAAACCAACAAGTAGTAAAGAAAATATCCCTCCAGTCCTTCACTTTATTGGAGGACCACATGTTATCGATATTTAAAGTCAACCAATCCTGCAAATTCGAATTCATAAAGGAATTGGGTATCGAACCTGTAAACCAAGATTGCCAAATTTTCCTAGCATGTCTACAATCACGAAGAACATGAATAACAGTTTCCTCATGATTTGGACAACTGGGACAGACATTTGAACCTCCGCTCCACTTACTGGTTCTGCTGCGCACTGAAAGTTTAGCAAGCAAAGTCATCCACATAAATACTTTCACTCGTTCTGGTCCATTCCACGACCAAACTTTTTTCCATAAGCTAGTGTGAACATCTGCTGGGAAGTTCATAAGATTACAGTAAGCGACCTTAACCAAAGAAGTTGAGTGATGATTATTGATCCAAACTAATCTATCCTCCCCATTCCTTGGAATAAGCCTGAGATGATTTGTTACTGCATCAGCCAAATCTGACTCCAGAAATTGATGAACAACTTCAAGACAGAAACCATCATCCACCATGTAATCTGCAATTGATTTCTGACTCTCCTCCCACGGCACCTGATTGCTCGACACCTGCTGCAAATTTTCCTCCCATCCCAACCAGTTATCAGTCCAAAGCTTTACTTCAGAACCATCTGCTATTTCCCATCTAAGACCAGCAAGGAAATTACTCCAACATTTAGCAAGATCACGCCAAAGTTTAGAGTCATATGATTTTGCCTTTATACCTCTCCTTAAGTCTTGACCTCTACCATACTTGGCTACTAAAATCTTAACCCATAAATCATCTTTCTTAGTTAACACCTTCCACGCCAGTTTATGAATATAAGCTTCATTTTGGAGTCGAAGGTTAATTATTCCCAAACCACTTCTATCTTTGGGTTTATACATTTGATCCCAAGCTACTAAATGAGCCCGCCTTCTGCTATCCTGATCTCCCCAAATGAAAGCCCTTTGTATCTGCTCAATTTCATCACAAAACGTTACTGGTAAAAGACCATTCTGCATATGGAAAGAAGGGATTGCAGCAATGACCGATTTCACCAAAGTAACTCGACCAGCAAAAGAAAGGCAATGACTTTTCCAACCATTCAGTTTTGAACGTATCCTATCCTTGATAGCTCCATAGTCTGCTTTAATATATCTCCCTTGTTTAACAATAGAGCCTAAATATCTGCCAATACTAGAAGTGCGCTTAAAGCCCATTCTGTTGACAATCCTTGTAGCAACTTGAGTATCAGTATTCGGGGAAAAATAAATCAAAGATTTATTTGCACTAACACTTTGCCCCGACATCTCACAAAAGAGATTAATACAATCCATAATCACCTTAGCTTGCTCCATATCTGCTTCCGCAAAGAGAATGATATCATCTGCAAATAAAAGGTGGGATACACTCGGCCCTCTTCTGCAGACTCTAATAGGCTTCCACGAACCCATAGTCACTTTTTCAGCGATCAAGTGGGAAAGCTTCTCAACACACAACACAAAAATATAAGGAGATATTGGATCCCCTTGACGAATTCCTCTCTGAGGAACTATGCAATCCGAAGCCACACCATTTATCAAGACCCTCGAACGATTAGAAGTTATAGAAGCCATTATAACACCAATCATCCAATCAGGAAACTGAACTTCAATAAGCACTTTATAGATAAAACTCCAACTGAGTTTATCATAAGCTTTTTCAAGGTCCAGTTTGATTGCCATTGTACCTTTCTTTCCTTTTACTCTCCCCATAGAATGAACCAGCTCCTTTGCTACTATAATATTATCCTGAAGCTGATGATTTGGCACGAAGCTAGCTTGGTAAGGAGAAACTAAATTCTCCATTGTAAGCTTAAGCCTATCCACAATGATCTTGCTCATACCCTTATAAATGACATTACACAAAGAAATAGGCCTGAATTGAGAAACATACATTGGCTTAGGAACTTTGGGGATCAAAGTGATCAGAGTACCATTGACTTCCTCAATGCTGGAAGGGTTTTCTGCATAATACTTGATATCTCTCCAAATCTGTTCACCAATAAATTCCCAGTTCTTTTTGTAGAATGCCGCGGTATAGCCATCCTCCCCTGGAGCTTTCGAATCTTTCATAGAAAAGAAAGCTCGTCTGACTTCATCTTTTGAAATTGGAGCACCTAAGTTAACAGCAGTCTCATCGTCCACCTTTGGCCAAAGAGTCTGGACCCAAGGAAGATCATGGTTTTCTTCAGAAAATAGTTTAGAGAAGTAAGCATTTATTACCCGTGCAATGTTGTGATCTTCTCTAATCAAGTTTCCAGCATCATCTTTCAACTCCAAGATCTTGCTCCTTCTACGTCTAACAATTGTTTTCGTATGATAGTACTTTGTATTCCTATCTCCTTGAGCTATCCAAGTAGCACGAGACTTTTCAAACCACAAAAGTTCCTCCTGTTCTAAAACTTGTTCAAGTTCACCCCTTATCTTGCCTTCAATCTTTTCCAAATGGCTTTTATTCTGCTCAGAAATTGCCCTCTGGATACCTTCAAGCCTACCAATCAACCTGTTCTTCTTATGATGGATATTACCAAACACATCTTTATTCCACTGCTTAATAGAGGAGTGAAATCACGAAGACTATCAACTGTTCTTTGATCCTGACGCCAGTTTTCCTTGATGAAATTGTTAAAAAATTGATGATCCAACCAAAAAGAATGAAAACGGAAAGGGCGTTCCACCCCATCAACTTTGCTTGGCTCTAAGGTAATAAGGATAGGATTATGGTCACTGTTAATACGAGGAAGCACTCGAACCTGGCCTTCATGAAACATCAACCTCCATTCAGCATTGCTACAAGCTCGATCTAAACGTTTAAAGACTCTATCTAAATGAAGAAATCTTGGTCCTCGCCATGTAAATTTAGAACCTATTCCTTCAAGATCAATCATCTTTATATCAGTTAGAAGAGAAGCAAATTTATTACATCTGCTAGTATCAACTGGAGCACCACCACGTTTCTCACCTGGAAAGGCAATTTCATTAAAATCACCTGCAATTAACCAAGGAACCGAGATATCTTCTGATAACTGAAGTAAATCATCCCAAAGTCTCTTCCGAATTTCTTCTCTAGGACTTGCATAGATAACAGTATAAAGAAAAGCTTGATGATCTGCCAATGTAACACGAACATGAATAAATTGATGGGTCTGTTTTAATGCTTGAACCTGACACCTATCATTAAAAATACTTCCATGCGCCCCTAATGACACATTTTATTTCTGTGAATGATATTATTTAATTTTTATTCTTATTTTCACTTTCCAATACTAAAAATTAATCATTTTAGCATGTAAATCTCAAAAAATTACATAGAAATAAAAAAATACTTAATTCGAACCATCGAGTTAAAAGTTATAGATTTGAGTCATGTAATCAATTACATCAACTAGTCAACAGGGACAAATTAATGCTAAGTTTTAGTAAAAATTCAAATTTTTAAATGGTATAAAAATAAGGACATGCTAGTAATTTTAAGAAGGGGCATAGGAGTTAAAAAGCCCTTAACTTCGTCCAAAAGTGAGAGATTTCGCACCAAACATAAGCCTCATTTCATTACTAAGATTGGAAGTCTAACCCAAAACTTGGCTATCTTCCTTTTTATTCCCACCTCTCTCTTTTTTCTCAAATATTTTTGTTTACTCCAATATTTGAAGGTTATATATTTATCGAAATGCACAGACTTGATTAATCAATTTTATTTCTTATGGGAAAATATTGTCTTATGTTCCTACAAGAAAAAGTTTTCTGTAGCAACCCATTACAGATAATATATATTTATAATATTAAAACTATTTTTTCTCTCTCCTTCGACATTCTCAGCTAACGTGACGGTAAAATAAAATATAATTTTATCATTATAATTATGTATTACCCATAAAGGTAAAAGTGAGTCAGGCTGGCCTATAGGAGCCTACGGCTTAGCCTATATCAGACCAAGCTCGGCTTATTACATATAGTCAAATAGAACATGATCGAATTTATAAAAAATTTATTTAAAAAATAGGCCATAGTTTTTTTTTACATGGCAGACCTATAATTCTTCAGGCCGACCTATATCATATTATTTATTTTAAATTAAATAAAATTTTATTATTCATAATAATACCAAATTGTGATAGTTCAATTGATGCATGTGATCAACTGAGTAGATGGTGAAAGAATTTATGTTCGATCCCCACCAATACTACATTTGGGAGTAACATAAGATCTGTACCAATCTCTCAGTAGCATCAGAATCAACATTTAGTGCTAGAGGAAGAGTTATTGATGTTTATCATTCTAACTTGACTGAAGATACCATACAAGCTTTAATGATTTTGTTTGAACGTTGAAATTGTGATTTTTGTTTTAACAATAGAATTTGTGAAGTTGATTCATGTTTTGCTTAAAAATTAAAATTTAACAGGCTAACTGGTTAGGCAGGACCATTTTTTTTATAAATAGGTCAGACTAGGCTAATAGTTAGACTCGTAATATGCTATCGAGTCAGGTCAAATTGAATTTTTTGACATAGACTTGAACTTTTCGGGACAAAATTTAGCTCAGCCCAGTCCACTTTTACCTCTAACTACCCATAATACATAATTATAATAAATTGCTCCAAATAACTTTTTTGTAGGAACATAAAAAAAAAAAAATTAACCCTTTTATTATCTGCAAAAGATTTTTGCTTGTTTTCTTTTTAAGTTCTGGGCTTGGGAAGTTTTCTCAGTTTGTTTTCTTTCACAAATTTCCTTATTTAAAATTTAGTACTGAATATTCGAATTACAGTTGGAGATTGGCATAAATCCAAATGCAAAGAAGTGGGCAGCAATTTTTTATCTGTATTATAGTCACAATCAGCATATCATTCCAACCATATTCAGGAGGAGATATCTAAAGACTTAACAAGAAATTTAAGTCACTATCAAGACAAAATATTGCTTTATCTATGATCTACCCAAAATTTAAGCCACTGTAAAAAAGACTTCTGTTAATTTCATTTTTCCTTATTAATTTTCACTTCAACTCAATCATATTTCATGCAGATGGATCCAGTCACGCGTACAAAGTTATATTTGTTCGTAGGAATATTCAGAGTCAAACTTAAACTTATAGTTGACATTTGTATAGGAAGATTGTTTCATTAATTCCAAATTTTCTCATCTTCGTATTATAATTTATTAAACTACTCAGAAATTAACTTACAATCAGTTAATTGTATATTGAACATTGGATTGTCTTGCTCCAACCTACCTTCCTTTCTTTGTTATTCAATTGTTCAGCCTTCGTTAGTACAAAATTTTAATACTGTGCAGCATACTTCCAAAAAGAACATTAATCCCAGATGAAGTTTTTTAAATAAGAATTTTCTTCTTTGCCCCTGTGTGTGTGTGTGTTTTTATGTGATTTCTTGTTATTTCTTTCCTTTTATACTCAAAAAAGTTATGGGTGGCTAACTACCATCCCCCAACCAATTCTACGGATTGGCCATCAAAGCAGGTGATGACCAAATGAAAACACCAGTTTGTCCAAAACAATCCAAAGCCAACATGACTCTATCAAAAAACTACCAAACCAGCCACCCAAGGTTTAAGGTCTTGTAAAGGAGTTGCCCGATATTAATCTAAAATCCTGTCACCAATTTCAGAAGAAAAAAAAGAATAAAAAAACTTGCAAACATCCTATAAAATCTAAAACTGTGTCCCACTCCTCACTTTCTATCTCTCTCCCCCTTGGTCAGTACAAGTTCTCTGTACAGGAGGATATAGTCTTTAACACTGGAATATGGCGCTAAAGACTATATCCTCCCCTTAATTTCTGGTCCTAGTTTCAATCTTTTTGCATTTTCGGCCACAAGGACGTTACCAGCTCCCCATTGAACTGACATATCATGTTTATAAGGGCAATTGGAACCATTCCGGCACCCTCTTGAGCTATTAAAGTATATGCAAGGTTTCTGAGTTTTGAATATCACTTCCCCCGGTTTAATGATGTTATGTACCGATTTCAAATCTTGGAAATTATTATGACGGATACCTATTTGTGAGTCCTGCTTATCTTGCTTATCTGCACCATGTTGCCTAATAAGGTTCTTATAATAGTTGGCATCCTTAGGAAATGATGTACCAGTACCTGATTGACAAGGCACTGTACTAGCAGCCGGTCGCACCTGGTTTGCAACGGCAAGCAAGTTCACAGTGGCAGAAGGAAATGCCACCGTGCTCAATTCACCAGAGGAAACAAAAGCCAACGATGCTGATCGCTTTACCCCAGATGACAGAACTGCATCTTGTTGAAGAGAAGTATTTAAAGATGGCAGCATTCCATTTGACATATGGGAAATATTTTTGTTGACAGGCCAGTGCATATGAGGCATAGGTGTGGATAGAGTTGGAGTTATAGGCAGGGTAATTGAGTGAGTTGCTGCTGATATACCAGCTACAGGCCTAGACAATGGAACTGATGGAGTTGCTGCTGGCTTATCAAATGTAGATGTCAACACTGAAACAGATGGAATTGTTGGCTTATCAAGTGTAGATGTCAACACGGAAACAGACGGAACTGCTGGCTTAACAGGTGCGGGTGTAAACAATGCAACTGATGGAGTTGCTTGCTTTGGCCCAGAAGCAGGAAATAATAAACCTACTGTACTTGTGGGTGTAGTCCCAGAAGGTACCGCCTCGGATGTAGGTTTAGACAATGGAACTGATGAAGTTGCAGGTTTCAATCCAGAAGTGGGTAAACCCACAGTATTTGGGGATGCACTAACAGTGCTGGATGCAGTTCTATGTTCTTTAATTAATTTCCCAATCATGATTGGATCATTAAATATTTTAAGAAGTAGATCCATATCAATCAAGCTTCCTTGCTCATTACTCTTCATGATGGCTGCTACGACAGCAGAAGCTGCTGCAGCTAGATCTGTCTCCAAACAAGGAGATACACCGGGAACGGGCTTTCCACAGGCAGATGAGGGAGCAGTAGTAGAGGAGGTATTGCATTGTGAAATAATGGGAGGTGTTGCCGGTATATATTGCTGCAGGTTTTGTGACTGCAAATTGGTGGGGGTGTCAGCAAGTTTTGTGACTGCCACTTCAGGTTTAATATCCATCGAATCTTCTTCCTCAATGGGAATGATAGGGATTAGAGGAGTGAGGTTATCATCATAATCTTCCTCCTCAACCTCAAGAGAAACAGAAGGGCTGCACAACCAAATGAAACAATTAAATTTAGTAAAAAGGGAGAAATGAAGTACCACAATGCATTCTCAATAAATGTGACATTTTACTTAGGAGGAATAGCAGAAAGACGTGGATAAACTGCTTCAAGCACTCTCATTTCTCTTAGCTTCTGATCCTCTTTCTCCCGACTTTCTTCACCAGCTGCAACGCACCAACGCTGACTCAAAGCAAACTGTGTTGAAAGTAAATAAATCAACGAACTTGATCAAAGAATATAGAACCAACAAACTAGACAAAACATGAAAGAAACAGGGTGAGTATAAAACATGAAAGAAAAATAAAAACTATGGAAAAGCTCTTAAAACAGATACTGCAACAGGGTGGGTCACTTACAAAGAAAAGTTCTAAATAACAGACGGTACAGAAATAATCAAAATCCAACATCTTTTAATACATTTCTAATATCTCATTACCAAAGGAGAGCATTCCCATTTGATCAGAGAAATGTGAGAGATTTCAGCCTTTGGTTGGTTCAGGAAATGATTGCCTTCAAACCCAGGTGGTAAATCAATACATTCATTATTACTTGAAGGCAACATTGACGAAGTCTTTTCCTGAAGATGATCTTGAGATTTGTGGCCAATTTTTGAAGGGTAGTCCTCGGATAAGAACAATTTTACCTGTTATGGTCAAGAGGGCAAACATACTTAACAAATAGGCTGAAATGAAGGTATACCATCATGTAAAAAGTAGTCAGAGAAATATGTACTATCGGACGTTGGGACAACAAATAAGAAAAAAAAGGTCCTAATAAGTTCACCTCTAGCATCATAATCCAGCGGCAATACACACTAACCCTCTCGGCAATGGAGGAAGGGGAAAAAAAAAACAAACAAGTGTTTTATAGCTTCCTCAGAAGCCTGTTGGATGGCCATGTTCTACAACTAAAAACATAAACTATTTTGATAGTTGTAAAACTTAAAGCCAAACGCCCTCACTTTTGACAAGCATGACAGACCAAATTACTAAAGAATAACCAATACCACAATAATTTCCTAAGCCCAAACCACATAAAAGAAATATAAACTTAACCACTCTGACCAGTTGGATAAATAAAGTTACTGTAAGAAGAAAAATGGCAAAGAAAAGGTTTTCTTTCAATGGAAGACGGTTCTAAAGAATCAATCTGATGCACCTGGGTGACTCGCTTGGATTGAGCTTTTTCATAATTTATTTCTTTATTTAGGGATTTTAATAATTATTAGTTATTTCCTTTTTGTTATTTAAGATTATGTTTGAGTGTGCGTTGATTGTGCGTTATCTCCTTTGATTGCGCATGATTATAGTTATTTACTTTTTTTGTTATTTTGTTTTTGCCTATTTAAGGCTTGGAGAACCCTATTGTTATTTGGTTGTTTTTGGTTAAAGAAAATTAAGAAAAGAGAATAGTATTTTCTCGCAATCCTTGTATTTGATTTTACTTCTGTTTAGCCAATTGGTTATTGCTTCGACATTATTTGGTAATCAGAGCTCTGGTTGTCATTTAAATGGCTGAACAGAACAATGGCGGTCGAGGTCGAGGTCGTGGACGACGGGGTCGAGGCGACGGCGGCGGTAGAGGGCGTGGTAATACCCTTTATGGCGACGGCGAACAACCACACATCGACGCGCGAGACGCCACAATGGTAGCAATGGCTACTACAATGGCAGAACAAAGTAGACGAATTCAGGAGCTCGAACAACGGTTAGCCCAAACACAGTTGAACGAGTTAGATGAAGGAAGGGAATCTGAAAGATCATCTCATGAGGAGGAAAGGAGCGAAAACCCATTCTGGGAATGGAACCAGGAGCGACGAGGACGAACTCAACCTGGAAATCAATCCTTTTTTGCCAATATTGGGCTGAAGATTGAGATCCCGGAATTCGAGGGCACCACTCATCCAGATGAGTTCATCGACTGGTTACACACCGTCGAAAGAGTCTTTGATATCAGAGACTTGACAGAAGACCAAAAGGTCAAACTGGTTGCTATCAAACTGTGGAAGCATGCCTCAATTTGGTGGGAACATATTAAGAAGCAGCGAAACAAATAAGGGAAGTCAAAGATCAAGAGTTGGGATAAGATGAAGAAACTATTACAACAAAAATTCTTACCCTTTCGCTACCGGCAGGAGGCATTTATTGAGTACCATAATCTCAAGCAGCGAGACCTATCAGTTGAACAGTATACAACTGAGTTTGATCGTTTACAGATGCGCTGTGATATTGCAGAGGAGGACGAACAACTGGTTGCTCGTTACCTAGGAGGACTGCGAACTGAGATCTCAGATGTTGTATACCTATAACAATATTGGTCATATGAGGACGTATGTCGACTAGCTTTGAAGGTAGAGGAGCAGTGTAAGAGAAGAGGGAGTACTTCAAAATTCCGACCCAGATTTTGTGACAAAGGACAGTTATCAAGCTCGACAGCCAACACTAGTGCGGGGATGGAACCTTCTAACCCGAAACTAGTGAGCAAGGGGGGAGCAATCAATGGTGAAGCAAGCAAGACAAGGACTACGACAAAGAGATGTTTCAAGTGTCAGGGTTTAGGACACTTCGCTGCTGATTGTCCAAACCGACAGTATGTTACTCTTGCGGATACTCAAGCCCATGATATAGGCCCCACCAATGATGAGTATGAAGAACATGAGGTGGATGGAGGGTCTGAAGAATGTGAGATTATTTTCAGTGATTCAGGCGAAGCCTTGGTTGTCCGAAGGGTGTTGAATGTTGACATCATTAAAGATGAGTCGTGGCTTCGACACAATATATTCCGCACAAAGTGCACCAGTGGCGGTAAGGTGTGTAATATGATCATTGATGGAGGGAGCTGCGAGAATGTAGTCTCTAATACCATGGTCGAGAAGCTAAGATTGAAAACAGAGGAACACCCACAACCATATAAGCTTGCTTGGCTGAAGAAAGGAAGTGAGGTGAAGGTGAACAAGAGGTGTCTCGTACAATTTTCTATCGGAAAAAGGTACACTGATGAGGTGTGGTGCGATGTGATTTCGATGGATGTGTGTCATATCTTGTTGGGGAGGCCGTGGCAATTTGATAGGAAGACGAAGCACGATGGCTTCAAAAATACTTACACTTTCAAGAAGGACAAACTAACTATTACCTTGGGTCCATCTGAATTAAAGGAGGAGGCGAAGAACACTATGTTGTCTAGAGTAGGTTCCCAAGAGAAATCTACCAATGCCGTTGAGATATGTGCTTGTGTGGTGATAGAACAAAATTCTGGTGTTTCTAACATTCCTTTGCAGGTTAAGCCATTGCTAGAGGACTTCGTTGATGTGGTTCTTGAGGAGATGCCATTGGAATTGCCACCTATGATAGACATCCAGTATTGTATTGACCTTGTGCCAGGAGCTGTTATTTCCAACAAAGCTACATGTAGGATGAGCACTGAGGAACAAAAAGAGTTACATTCACAGGTTCATGATCATATTCAGAAGCAGAATGTGAAATATAAACAGCAAGCTGACAATCATAGAGATCAAGCCATTTTCAATGAAGGCGATATGGTATGGATCCACCTTAAGAAGGAACATTTTCTGGCTAGTAGGATTGTTAAACTACCTAGAGCTAATGATCCCTTCAGGGTGCTCGGGAAGATCAATAACAAAGCTTACAAGATTGAACTTCTTGGGGAATACAATATTTCTAGTACTTTCAATGTTGCTGACTTGTCTCCTTATCATGATGATGAAGAGGGCATAACGTGCGAGAATAACCATGAAGATCTGTTAGATTCGAGGACGAATCTTCTTTTGACAGGGGAGAATGATGCACCTGGGTGACTCGCTTGGATTGAGCTTTTTCAAAATTTATTTCTTTATTTAGGGATTTTAATAATTATTAGTTATTTCCTTTTTGTTATTTAAGATTATGTTTGAGTGTGCGTTGAGTGTGCGTTATCTCCTTTGATTGCGCATGATTATAGTTATTTACTTTTTTTGTTATTTTGTTTTTGCCTATTTAAGGCTTGGAGAACCCTATTGTTATTTGGTTGTTTTTGGTTAAAGAAAATTAAGAAAAGAGAATAGTATTTTCTCGCAATCTTGTATTTGTTTTTACTTCTGTTTAGCCAATTGGTTATTGCTTCGGCATTACAATCAGTCCAACCTACATGGAAAGCTTCATATTGCGGTTCGTTTTCAAAGCCAGCAATCAAATTTAGATTGCAAAGAAGCTTCATATTGCAGTTCAATTTTTAAACCCACCAGTCAGATTTACATTGGAAATAAAAACATTTAAGTTCCATTATGAGCTTTATCTATCACAGCTTATGTTGGGAACTGCTTATCATAATGTTATTGGAATAATTTTTCAAGGCCATTTGGGCCACTTGTATAGCTGAATTCAGACAGCATTTCTAGCAACTTTAACCAAAGTTAATGAAGTTATCAGTCTTTCCAATATTAATAGATTTATAAAGTCTTCTTATCCCACCAAAGCCAACATCAACTATATGCCACTTGTAACAAATTCATAGAAGTTACGACATGCTCTACATTAGCAAATTTATAGAATTGTAATTCAAAGAAAAAAAATAACAGCTTGACCACATCATATTACATTTTAATTGAGTTCAAGAGTTTTATGCTGATTTTATTTTTGAGATATATAGCTCAAAGGGTGGGAGTGCCCAAGACCTTATAAATGCCATATTAGTTGCACATCCAATCAATGTGGGACTATATTTCTTAACATTTTTTCTTAAAAATAAAATCAGAAGCCAACTCTTAAGTACTTTATCTTCATCAATAGAAACAATACAGTGATAGCAATTTTCATCATTTTCTCTTTCATACCAATAGCCCAAGAAACAAACAAAAAATTAGCTCCTTCACCGAAAGCCAATCTTCCATTAGTCCTAATTTCATAATATTGACAACATTTTGCTTGATTTTTCTCCATAATAAATTTATAACAATATCAGCATTTTCCACACAGCACCAGTCGCCTTTATTAATTTAGTGAAATTCCATCATGACCATATAGATACAAGATTCTTCTATCATGTCAATCTAAGTTACTCTGCAACTAATAACAATTCATGCAAGTTGAAAATACTTTAGCAGTACCAACATTGTTTGACACAACATAATGACATAAAACAATTTGTCAAATTGATCATGATAGGAAGTTGCATCTACACGATGTTCATGAAAAAAAAGCAAAATAATTTGATCCATATATAATTCATGTTTCAGGAAAAATTGAAGAACCTCATTCTTTTATGCATGCAAAGTTTCACTCACATAATGGTAGATTATGGATCTACTCCAATCATAATACAGTGAATATAAAATATTGTATGAGGAAAATGCCTTAGGGATGATAGACCTTAAACATGTCCCGGCAAAGTGTTTCATTCTAACAAGAAGAAACAATCAAAACACTCGGGTGCATAGTTTGGGCACTATTTGTTCTTGTTATTGATAGTTTTTTGTTGTTATCTTTCATGTTCTTTTTTTGTATTGCCAAATCAAAGACAGAAGGGCTGGTACAACGTTTGTCAATACTATTTCTCAAATTTGAATTTCTTCGTATGACATTCTCTTTTTAAACAGCTAACCAGCAAAAAATTGTATTTATGCCGGCAACAAAGCATCAGATTCAAATTTAATAGTTTGACATGTATTGAAATAAACTTGTCTTAGATTTGAAGCAACTCTTTGTTCCTTTTTATTATTTTAACTTGTGGGACATGGTAAAAGTTGTAAATCATCACTCACATGTATAATACCAACCACAATATTCGCGTTGTATACTCATTTCTTTAGAGCGGGGTATGAAATTTAAGGAAGGAAAATTACTCTATGACAGTATTGCCTCTTACTTTTTTCTTTTATTTTAAGAATATTAGTTTCCAATAGTCAATTATTTATTACTTAATATTATATCTAATAAATATGCTTTGAAGAATATTTAAGAATATTACTTTTAGGTAGTTTTGAAGACGTGGCAACCAAAGCATAAAACGATGGGCAACTTCAAAGATCATTTATTAGGTAATTTATGTACTGCTCCGGTCACCATCCCAGCTACAATATCCTGTACTTCAGGTTTTTCCTTATCAGATATATGCATACATCTTAATTTGCAATTATGAAATATGCAATTTAAGTTATTTTATTACTTTTATTCACCGGGTGAAATAAAAATTATATTTAGGGAATAAAAGGGTATTTAAAAATTTCTTCTGGAGAAAGAGTTTGATTCTGCAAAAACATTTGAAGGTTTCAATAATAGTTGTGACTGGCAATAGTAAGGCTGTGTCACCAGTTCTTATTCTTAAGATAAAAGCATCGGATAAAGTAGTTTAGGAGCCGTTTGGTAAACGAAAAAAAAATAAATTATCTGAAAATCTCGATTTTAAAAATATGATAAAAATTAAAAATTTAATGAATTTTTTCAAAAATTCTACATATACCTTGTACCAAAGGCCCTTAGTATTACCCAACAAAGCAATAACTCGTATGCCCATCATTTCTGCTAGGTGTCAATGTTTCCAAAAGATAAGCACCTTATTCATTTGCCCACCGCCACCGATCCAGAAAAATGGTTTATCTTGGTGGTTTTAAAGCACATCGATATATAAAAATAATAATATTTCATATTTTTTATGTTTCAAGTTTCAACAATTAAATTTTATTATGCATTGATATATAGATTTATTTATGCATTTACAATCTTTAGTAAAAATAAATAAATGAGGTTAAAAATATTTTTTAATTTTTTTTCCAATCTTAGTACTCATCATATTTATGTTTAAAGTTTCAACAATTAAATTTTATTATGCATTGATATATAGATTTATTTATGCATTTACAATCTTTAGTAAAAATAAATGAGCAGGTTAAAAATATTTTAACTTTTTTTCCCAATCTGAGCACTCATCATATTTATTTTTCAAGTTTCAACAATTAAATTTTATTATGCATTGATATATAGATTTATTTATGCATTTACAATCTTTATTAAAAATAAATAAATAAACAGGTTAAAAATATTTTATTATTTTTTTTCCAATCTGAGTAATCATCCTTTTATAATATTTTTTTTTTTGTTTTTTTTTTACAGCGGTGTCCCCTGTTTCTTCGGTAGCTGCAAAGGGACCAAAATTACAGATTCAAGGGAAGAGGGGATTTTGTTAATGTCGAACGAAACAAAAAATAAAATAAAATAAGAATTTAAAAAAGATCGAATCGCGTAGAACCCTAAACGAAAAACATAAATCTTCCTTAAACAATTATATTGAAAGAATGTTATGGTTATACCTGACACAGATTAGATCCAGGAGCCCACGAAACCCTGTTCGATTTCCTTGCCCGCTTCATATTAAATCTCAGATTTCCAGCACTTTTAACTCTCACAAATCAAAAACAGAAAACAGACAGATATGCAATCGAATCAGGGGAAGATGCTTTCAAAAATCCTAATCGACCAACAATGGGAGAAAATCTGAAAAAAAAAAAACCAAAAAACCCTAACGAAAATTAATTTTCTCTCTTTTTTCTTTCTTTTTTTCGGCTTCTCGTTCTAGTTCTCTTTCCCTGCTTCGCTCGAGAAGCGCAGCAAAGGGAGTTGATAAAAGAGGCGTATGGGGGAAAAAGAGATATTTTGAAAACCCTAGAACTAGAAGGGTCTGTGATGGGTTCGGTTACGTAACGTTTGGTGATGGTGTGCGTTGAAATAGGAGATCTAATTAGAGTGGGGTCCACGTGTGACAGCGCATAAGCAACGGTGTCCGAGTCTTTTGGGGCCCAAATGATTCCTATTTGGATATATAAGCTGTGCCTATTTGCCTGCCCAGTACGATACGGTTTAAGGTTTGGGTTAGTACTGAGCGTGACTCATCTGTATTCAAATTTTTTTTTTATTGTGGATGTTGATATTATAAATTGTTAAGTATTATATTAATTATATTTTATCAATATTTATTTGTTACAAAATTATTAATTAATACATATCTGACAATTTACCCTAAATAATAATATTTATATTGATCCAGATAAAATACGGATCCAACAGTTAGAGAATCTGGAAGGGCCCAAAGGTGATGGGCGTAATGTTCTCGTTGTGCATTCTGTTGCGCTAAATCGCGGGATAAAACTTAAAGACTAAGGAAGGTCGTAGTGATTTGATAAAGTCAGCCTTACATAAGAGTCAGTATAAGTAAGACATCTCCAACTTGCCACTATTCTAAGGAGGAAGGCCATAGTGATTTGATAAAGTCGGCCTCACATAAGAGTCAGTATAAATAAGAAGACTCCAACTTGCCACTACTCTGAGGAGACAGACTAGTATTTAGACTTGTTCATCAAGAAATAGCCTGAAAAATACCAACATTGACAGAATGACAGCCACCCTAAATAACCAATAAAGAGAGATGTCGCCCACAAAGGACAACATATAGCGCACCATAAATAATGGAGGGTACAAGCTCACGTATAGACATCTCTCCATTACAAACATTATATACCTTGCGTTGATACTAACTTGATCGTCGAAGTGTCTTTGTAGATACCATCCTCAATCACTCTTATTACGTCAAAGCTACAACACAAACACTTCAAGGAGAAGTCCATTCCACCATCGCGCTAGACTATCTTGCAACATCCTTGAGGCCTACAATCTTTAACTTTCAATTGTATCTGGTTTGATCCATCCTATCTTAAACAGGAGATATCACATATAAAGATGTTAAGTATTATAACAAGAAAACATTGTTTTTTTTTTATATATTTTTTTTATGTTGTAGGAAAAAATTACCTCGTATTGTAGGAATAAAAGTATAAGAGAGACCCACAGGTAAGAAGAGAGAGAAAAAAGAGTGGTGAGACTCAACTTCTTTTTGTGTACGTAGGAGAATTGTTTATCTCATGTAAAATGAGATAAAAATAACCTCTCTTTTTGTCTATCTGCCACTTCTATTTTTTATTATATTATTTGCATCTTTGCTTAGGATGAATATTACATTAAATTAAAAAACATGAGTTGATGTGTGTTTGAGGAAAAGAATTTTCCTTTGGTCAAGCGCTGTCTAGAGGTAACCTATATGTCATTTAAATATTTGAGAATAGAAACTTTATTTGCACAATGCATGCCTACCATTTCGAACCTTTAAAAAAATTAAAAATTTAATTCCAATTTATTTAGAAATTGAATGTAATCATTAAAATTTGTGGTTACAAATGAACTTATATAATTTTTAAAACTTTTTATATTCTCAATGAACCACCGGATTATATTTGAGTTTCAATAGTATTTTTTATGGTTAATTTTCTACATTATATGTACGTATAGGAAAGAAACGCAAGATAAGCAAAAGAAAAGTTTAAATCAATTTATACAATTGAGTCCTTCATTGCATGCAACAACTCACATAAAACATGTCCTTTAAAATGTGAGGATACACAATATTTTCCTGTCATATGGACTTTTATTTTACAACGCTCCTATGATATGTCTACATCTTTAGACTATTCTCAATGTAGAGGTAGTATATATGTGGGCGTTTGTGCATTCTCTTTTGTTAACAGCTATAGTAACTAAATATTTCATATAAATGAGACAAGAGAATCTTGATACTTATTTGGCTCTTCGTATATTTGTTAAACCCTTTTGAATTTTATTCTAACATAAGAACAAGAGCATAAGTTTAAAATTTGCTTACTTAATATTTGTGTGTGTGTGTAAAGTGATAGTGAGATAAATTTTGGCTGACTTGTTTTTACTTACCATAATATGGTCAGATCATATTATTTTGAATTAAATTATTCTAAAGCAAGAGATTTACTTTAAAAAAGTGATGGATCTTAATTATTTATACAAAATGCGACTTTGTTAATTGGGATATAGAGACCCAGCAAAATGAAAAGTTGCAAGTATGGTACCGAGCTTACTAGAAGCACACTCCAGCACTCAATCACTCCAGTCTTCATATATACAAGTTTTGCAAACTTAGTCACGTCATCTCGACTGTACATAATGTTTATAAGAACTTTGCATTCTAAAGTTCTGAGTGTAGGGGCTCTGTATATAAGTTGAGCAATAGTTATAAAATATTATTCACTTTTTTTAAGCCATTTATAATCGGATGGATAATGGTTAAAGTGCACACAGAAAATAAAATGGTCATTCAAACTGTTATTGTCCATTTAGTTCATGAAGATGTTTTAACGAAAATATTATTCACATTCTGAAAATCTGGTTTTTAAGTGAATAGTCGATTTGGAATGTTAAAAATTTGATTCGAAACCACAAAATATTACTCGTTATGGTTTTGGGCAGTGCTTCATACAATCCAAAATGGGATCAAATGAGCATATCTAATTGAAAGGTGTGGGGCATTATCCTTCCTGAAAAGGGTTTAGCCCATTTGTATCTCTTGGGCCTGATACCATACTTGCTCGGCCTTCATTTCAGCAACATGAGGAAAAAAGAAACCCATGATATATTATTGTTAAAAAAAAAAAGTAGTATATTACTCGCTGAAGATTAGGGGTGAAAGTGGGCTGGACTGGGTCAAGCTTTGCTCTGAAAAGCTCAAGCCTACGCCAAAAAATTTCAATTTGGCCTGGCCCAAGCCTCATACGAGTTTAACTGTTAGCCTAGCTTGACCCGTTTACAAAAAAACAAATAGCCTGACCTAGCCCGTTAGCCTGTTAATTTGTTACTTCCAAGCATAACCATGAATCAACTTTACAAAATATTCAAATTCTGTTACTAAACCAAAAATCATAATTTCAATTCAACATCCAAACAGAATCATAAATCACAACAAAACTCATACAATCTGCATTTAAGTCACTTTCAAAAGTAAAATGCTCAAACTAAATAACATGTATTTAATCAGATCCAACAAACAAATTCATACTATGTAAATTAAAATAACTACATGAATCCAACAAACACATCATGATGCTTGTAGTAGGTATAACCTCTCCCAAAAACATTTTAATATATTCATATATACAATCTAACATGCTGAGATATTGGTTCCTCCTATATAAGAAATAAATTCAGATTTTTATTAAAATACAATCGAATATAATTAAGTTATAAATATTTATAATTGATTAAATGTATATCTTTTATTTTTTCTTCAATGCATACTTATTCTATTTTATTTTTTTAAAATAAATAGTACAATATAGGCTGGCATGTAGGCTTATAGGCCAGGCCTTGTGAAAGTGGGTCTACGGCCTTTTATTAAACAAGTTTTTTCAAGCCCAAGTTCGGCCTATTTTATGAAATATTCTAGGTCAGATCTGGCCTGACGTAGGCCAAGCCGTAAATCCTTGTAGGCTGGCCGGGCCCAGTTTCACCACTTTTGAAGATGCAAGGAGGTTTTGCGAATATAAATAGGGCAATGTATTTCTTATGTTGCTGCAAAACAAAATAAAATAAAATTATAGCAACCAATTATAATTCTGTATTTCCGAGAATACATAGTTATAACTGTAAAACTTTTTTCTTCATTTTCATGTCAGTAGACAACTTTTGAAGAGAAAAAAAATAACTTTAAGATTATAATTATGTATTCACGGGAATATATAGTTATAATCGATTGCTGCAATTTTTTTTTTGCAGCAATATAAGAAAAAAGAGACCCATATAAATATTAGTTTTTGGGAAAACCAATAGTAGTTTTTCTTCCGAGAAAAAACCATAATTTGTGAATTTAAAATGAAAAAAAATTACTCTGATGTTGTTGAAGAGTAGTTATCTACTTATTTTTCCTACACATCTATTGATTTATGTGTAGCTCAATTTTTGTTTTTTATTTCTATGATGAGTGGGCCCCACGCATGATTGTGTCTATGGTAGAAGAAAATTACTTTCCTACAACATGAGATTAATAAAATCCTCTAAAATATTGCTAAATTGAAACTATTATTTTTGTTAGAAAAACCATGTAAAGATTAATTGAAGAGTCAATTATATTATGACGTACACAACTAAGCATATATAATTCATGTAAGAATATTGGAAATAATTGAATATGATTAACTAGGACTATAAAGAACCAATTCAACCAAAAAACATAAGTTGTTATATGAAAGTATTTTTAATGGTTTATATTATTCTCTAATATTTTCCTCACGCAATAGCCTTTTGAGCTTGAAACGTAATTTTTGGTTTACCTTGTGTTTATTTAATTTCACTTGAAAGTGAAAGGTAATGAGGATCGAATTCCTGACTTTATGATCGCTCGAGCTCTGATATAATTTAAAAAATAATTAAACCAAAAAGCTTAAGTTGTTGAGTGAAGGTTTTTTAATGATTTATATATTCTCTAACAAGATAAAACATGAAAAAAAAGAGTAAATACCTTTTTTGATCCCTAACAATATCCACGAAACCCTTTTTGGTTCCTAGCAATAAAAAATGGACATCGTGGTCCCTAAATTTTACAAATTAGGCCCACGTTAGTCCTTCTGTTAGTGGGCCTCTAACACTGTTACTAACGTCTCTGACGTGTACTGTTAAATTGCTGAGTCACCATGGAGGAATCCACCTGGATAAAAAACGATGTCGTTTGGTACCTTGCTTTTTTTTCTTCTTCTTCTCTCCAATATAGGTCTCCCACTAACACCACCCATGTTTATTACAGTTCACTTGGTTTACCATTCTTCGCCGCCATCATTACGGCCTCCATGCAAAACTTCACCCTCTGCCTCTCCATCATTATGTTAAGTTGGATGACTGCAAGATCCCACCCTCACTTCGAGTAGTCTGAGACAGCTGAACCTTTACTGTTTGTGTTGCTGAGATCATTTCCATAATTACTCAGTACTTTGAATTTAACCCTGCCAAATCGAATGATATATCCATTACAGTTAAACTTTCACCAATATCATATCAACTGTAACACTCACTCAACTATCCAACTGGATCTTCAATTATGTCTATACAATGTAAAGGATCACATTTACAGAGATTTTTTTTTCCACAGCCTCAAGTTTAAGCTTAAGGCCACATAGGAAGTACTTGTAACATTTTGGGAAGAAATAAATTAGCAATAAAAACATCAAAACATGGTAATGGTATAATGAAACTATGTAAATATTAAAATTGAGAAACCAAAGGTGGGAAATGACAGGATTGAACTTGGATGATTAGTTGAGGTGGATTGCATTATTGGAACTATGTAAATATTAACATTTTTCCCCACTTTTTTCGTTGCTATCTTTTGGTTATTAGAACAACTATGCTAGGGTCTACATTGCATTATTGAAAGTATGGGTCTACCAATTTAAGGACATCGTATTACAGTCTCTCAGTACGTGAGCTTTTGTCTCAGCCTCCGTCCTACAGTTTCCACAAAGTGGATCATCTTGAGACCATCTAAATGTGTGACCATTAAAACCATGTACTTTTCTTTTCTCCGCTCATATCGTTAATACTGGAACGAGAAGTTCTGAATAAGGGGATCCTTTAAAAAATAGCATCTTATAGTAACATTTATTTAGTCATATTTCTCATACAAAGAAGTGTTGATTTTAGGGGACCAGCACCCATGCTAAGTGAATTGTATTTTTCTAAATAAACTTTGAGAGCCTGGTTTTATAAATCAACTTTGAACTGCATCTGAATCCATTTACCAGCGTTATATTATGGGCTTTCAGCTTTAATTTGGGCGCTGAAACAAGCTCCCATGTTGTGTGGAGGCCTTGGATGTGATTAGTAAATAGAAGAGAGTGAGAGAGTTGAAAATGAAGAAGGAAAGAAGGTGGGTGTGGTCACTCCAGTGGCATTCATGGTATGTCCCAATGGACCCCTTTTTCTCTTTCTGTTGGTTTCAATCACAATCTTAGATCCTCCAATGCTATTATTGCAAATACCAAAACACATTCTCTTATCTCTTAATAAACACAACACTTTGGTGTTAATATTTGTATTTGCATCATCTCATCTCCTTCCCCTCTCATTTACGCATTAGCTAGCAGCTAACTACCAAATTTACGGTACCATAACCATCTTTTTTCATTTACATTCTAATGCTCTGTTTTATGAAATATTCCATTATATTATTCAGCTCTATCTTCTAGCACCCTCTTCCTTGTGCTTTTACCATGATAGTGAGGCTAATCCAGTTGCTTTGCTTCTCTCCTCGGCCATGATGTCAAGGCATCTTCGGTTCTCTTTTTTGCTGACAGACTTGAGACTGCTGTGAATCGTGTCATTTTAGAGTGCAAGTACATGACACAAGATTTTGGCAGAGACAACACTACTCAGGAGATTGTTGACACTGTCATTGCCAACCTCGACTAAATGGGTGTTCATTTACCATTTTTAAGTCTTGTTGACCAGCCTTCATTTACCATGGTGATGGTGAACTGTAATGAACATGGGTGGTGTTGGTGGGGACCTATATTGGATAGAAGAAGAAAAAAGAAAGAAAAAGTAAGGTCCCAAACGACGTCGTGTTTTATCTAGGTGGATTCCTCCATGGTGACTCAGCAATTTAACGGTACACGTTAGAGACGTTAGAGCTCCACTAGCAGAAGGACTAACGTGAGCCTAATTTGTAAAATTTAGGGACCACGATGTCCATTTTTTATGGCTAGGGACCAAAAATGGCTTCATGGATATTGTCAGGGATCAAAAAGGGTATTTACTCAAAAAACATTAATGGTGTGCATGACAACTATTCTGTTTTTCAGCACTATTTCTGAAAAGAGACAATTTTTTTCTATTTCTGTGCCTTAGAAAATTTTTTGAGAAAAAAGAGAGTTTGATAACATGTTATGCTAATTTGATTGAGAGATATGGTGGTGTACATAATAACCATTCTATTTTCTAGCGATAGTCGTGTCAGGATGGTGGTGGTAATAGTAATGGTAATGGTAATGATAATGGTCGAGAGTGATTGAGAGAGATAAGTGTTTCTCATTTTGTGTTCGGGAACAAAAAAAAATTGATTATTTTTCTATTCTCCAGCACAGAAATTGAATATGTTCATTGTTGAAAACAAAAAAATAGACTAATTTTGTCAAATACTGTTTTTATCCATTTATATTTCCAGATATAAAATTTTAAAAAAATTAATTCCAACAAAATTGTCATGCATCCCTTAAAAATTTTCAAAATTTGTTTAAAACACACCACGACAACTACGAATTCCTGTAAATATTAATTTGTACATAATCCTTGATGAGACCACCTCACAGACTAAAAACGGCAAAATATTAAAATGAACAGCTGGAAGATTATATTAAAGAAATTGAAAAAGAAAAAGATTAGGTAAATCCGTAAAATACTAAATCGGCAGGTGCAAATTAGGTTAAAACGTAAATTTGGAGAAACATATTAAAGTAAAGTGTATATCATATTAAAGATGTAAAGTTATGTTATTTTAAGTGAGAGAAAGAGATAGATAAAAAAGAAGAGAGAGTGGATAAAAAAATATAAAAGTATGGGTCTCATCTCTTTGTGAGAGTGAAATGATATAAATTATGTCATTTAAAAGGATAAACATTTTTTCCTTATTTTTATTGGGTTTTAATAGGAGAAACTTTTTAAAATTTTATTTCTTTTATTTATCATTGTTATATTGTAACTCTGACATCAAATTATTATACAATGTAAAAATAATATTAAAAATAATTCTTACGTGTAGAAATAATATATATATATATATATATAATTTTTTTTTTTATAACAATAATATATATTTTTATCTTTCATGTGTAATTGTGAATTGAATGACTAAAAGGAGTAAATCAAGAAAAGTAATGGTTCAAAATTTAATAAATAATAACATAATAACAAAAGTTGTAAAAAACTACGTAGGTAGACAAAAAAAAACATTAAAATAATTCGGATAGTTTGATAAATATTATTATTTTCAATTCAGAACTCTTAATTATTATTCTAATTTGATTTTAGTATTTTACTATATTATAATTCTGTTTTGATAATATTATAATATTAGAAACGAGGAGAATCAAATGAAAAATATATATAAATTAGTTTAAAAAATAAAACGTATAAATGAAAAAAAAAAAAAAAAAAAACATAATTTAACCGTAGAGCAGGAACAATTAAATGTTTGATCAGGATGACAATAGATCTGCACTCCCTCCACCTCCGAACCACCCTCCACCTCCGAACCACCCTCACCGACACCCAATAGTATTCGCTTCGCCTCGTGGCTGTATATTATATATAAAATTATTATTTTTAATAAATTTACTTAATATAATATTTTTTATATTATAAAAAATAAAATTATTTTTTACACATACATAAAAATATGTGACACTCATATTTTTTTTTTCTTTTTTTATCTGATATGATCCTATATGAATTTTACACACTTTTATATATTTATAGGAAAATAATTTTACTCCCTGTAACATGAAATATATTAAACTCATCTTATTAAAACTTTAGGTAAAAATAATAGTCGATCAAATAATAGTATAAATTTTTTTCTTTTATTTTATAAATATTACTCATATATTATTATCCGAATTATTACTTAATTAGCATTGATTTTAAATTTTAAGATCTCAATACAATGAAGCTTAGAAGTTTATTTTTGTCACACCACTAATTGTTCTCTTTTTCATTAATTTGAAAAGTAAAAACAATTTGACTGGGAGATAATTTCACCCGATGTCATTTTATTTTCACTGTAGTGATCTATTTCCAATCTTTCCTCCCCAATGTAAGAAGATCTTAATTTTTTTTTCGTTCTTAAATCATTTTCACACTAAAAACGAGGAATAATAATTTAATAGATTTTAATATCTCTTATATTATATGCGATAAAATTATCTTTTACATATATGTATAAAAAAAATGGGGATATTCTAACTACCAAAAACTCTCACTACTAACTTACTACCCATCACATCACCATTGGATTAGAATGTTAAAAAGTTTTTGAAGAGAGAGAAAATGTTAATCTAATGATAATTAGATAGGTAATAAATTGGTAGTGAAAAATTTTGATAGTTTCTTCGTATAAAACAATGTATAAATTTCATATTTTTTTTATCTTCTTTCACATGAGTCTCACACAAATTTATTTATATATAAAAGATAATTTTATTTCATACTAACAAAAATCGATCCCTAATTCAATTCATGTGATGTGATCTCATCTTAGTCAATTTATACTTATTTTGATTACAAATCTTAGTAACTTTCCAGTGTGAAATTGTGCATCATAGAAGGAGAAGCGCGTTGCAGTGCCTGCATAAATTAAGACACGCTAAGATATCTTTCTTCGTCTTTTTCTTTCATTATCTCTCTATTCTGTTCAGTTCTCCATCCATCTAACTATCATTATACCAAGATGGATTCCCAGAACAACACCGCCGAATCCGGATCCGGATCTACACCCACAGTGACCAACGGTGACGTTGCTCCGCCGCGCAAGGTGGCATTGATCACCGGAATCACCGGTCAAGACGGTTCCTACCTCACGGAATTCCTTCTCAACAAGGGTTACGAGGTGCACGGACTCATCCGTCGCTCCTCCAACTTCAACACCCAACGCATCGACCACATCTACGTGGATCCTCACAACGCACACAAGGCACGCATGAAGCTCCACTACGCCGATCTCTCCGACGCCTCCTCCCTCCGCCGCTGGCTCGACACCATCCTCCCCGACGAGGTCTACAACCTCGCCGCGCAGTCCCACGTCGCAGTCTCCTTCGAGATCCCCGATTACACCGCCGACGTCGTCGCCACCGGCGCCCTCCGTCTCCTCGAGGCCGTCCGTTCCCACATCGCCGCCGCGGGACGCAGCCACATCCGGTATTACCAGGCCGGGTCATCGGAGATGTTCGGGTCAACGCCGCCGCCTCAATCGGAGAACACCCCCTTCCACCCGCGTTCCCCTTACGCGGCGTCGAAATGTGCTGCGCACTGGTACACGGTTAACTACCGTGAGGCCTACGGGATCTTCGCGTGCAATGGGATCCTTTTCAACCACGAATCGCCCCGTCGTGGCGAGAATTTCGTGACCCGGAAGATAACCCGGGCGGTGGGTCGGATCAAGATCGGGCTTCAGAGCAAGCTGTTCTTGGGGAATCTGCAGGCGTCGAGGGATTGGGGTTTTGCTGGGGATTACGTGGAGGCTATGTGGCTGATGCTGCAACAGGAGAAGCCAGATGATTATGTTGTGGCCACGGAAGATTCACACACAGTTGAAGAGTTCTTGGAAGTGGCTTTTGGGCATGTGGGTCTGAATTGGAGGGATCATGTGGTGATTGACAAGAGGTACTTTAGGCCTACGGAGGTTGATAATCTCAAAGGGGATGCTAGCAAGGCTAAGAAGGTGCTTGGGTGGAAGCCCAAGGTGGGTTTTCAAGAGCTTGTGAGTATGATGGTTGACCATGACATTGAGATGGCTAAGAAGGAGAAGGTGCTTGTTGATGCTGGCTACATTGATGCTCACCAACAACCTTGATCTCAAATTCTTTTGGGTCCTCCATTTTTTTTTTTAAAAAATAAAATAAATTTGTTTTTTGGGTTTTTAGATAAATGTTGCGTAGAATTTCAATCAAAGATGGGTTTTACTGTTTTTGTCATACAATGCTGTTCTTTTAAATGATTCATCATAGCTGACATCTATGAGCAGTTTACTTGTTGGTGTTGGAGTTGTTGTTTTGTAGTTTTTCGTTGCCAGATTTTTGTGTAAGCCCGATAATTTATTAAATCTCAATATCTCTACATCCATTGTCTGTGTGGAAGCTAGAGTGCTAACATTTATGTTCTTTTTTTTGGGGGGTAATTAATCCCTGTTCTTTCTACTCCTTCCGCATTTTTTTATAGGCTTCAATAGAACAGTATAGACTATAATGGACCACTGCGGTATACATAATATGTGCGTGTTCAAATTGTACGGGTGTTCTTAATTCTTATCGAAGCCAAATCGGCTGAGTGGGGTTTAGTGAGTGCTAGTTGGGGCTTGTGTTTTTCGAGTTGGGGTTTCTGGGTTTGAATTTGGGGTGATGACGCAGGTTGTGGGTCATGTGAGTTTGCTTGATCTACTTGTCCTTCGAGATAGGGTTGAATCTGATCTGGATGATAGGGGAGTTGAATCTGATTTGCTTCATGGCTTTGTCATGTGCTATGATTTTTGTAATCTGCTTTGCACTTGTTTTTATAATATTATTTGTTTCTTTTGGTTTTGATCTATGAATTTTTATCACCTAAAATCTCTTTATAATTATGTCTTATTTTAACATGATAATATTATCTGAACAATCTCACGATGAAATGCGAATAATTTCAATAATGGAGAGATTAACCATCGTAAGGGAAAATTTATTCTCGCGCTATCTAGTTAAATAATAATAATAATAAAACCAAGCCGATTTGATTCTATTCTTCCATCAACACCCATAAAAATTATACGCTAAAAAACAGACCGGTTCGTATTAATGATCATGACTTGGACGTTTACCTTTAATTTACAATTTCTTGTGTGACACTTATTCTCATGGCTTTAGGAATCATCATATTTACAATCTGGATCCTGTGAGAATCTTCTGCATGTATTGATGTGTTTCGGACGCAATATTTGATAATTTACATGTACTACTTTTTTCTTCTTTTTTTATTGGATCTACCTTTGGAATTATAGATGTGATTGTGTACATATTTATTTAGGTACAGTTTTGCACACAAGAGGATACATCTTTATTTCTTTAACATACATTGTTAAAGACATAATTAGCAAAATGTCGCACAATGACAAGACCATGCGCGCATTTTTTGCTGAAATTACAATTTTCTGCAACTGAAATGTCGAAAACTATAATATGAACTTTTCGAAAACCCCAACCCAAAAAAGACAACGATTATATAAAATGATCACTTTACATCTAATCATGTGTCGTGTTATGATATCTTTTCAATTTTTTCAATCCAATTAGCAACCAAGCTTAATGTGTGCGTGTCGGTGATGGGCATCAAAGTTCCCTTGTATACAAGCATTGTAACATGGGGGGATTGCTCTAAGGTTGCCACGACTTAGATCTCAATTAATGAAAAGCTTCATGCCCACCATCCAAACTATGGCCCACACAAATTTAGTCAACCATGTGAATGTGATCCAACCTTTCTTCAGACTCTCAAGTATCTTAAATTAGATAAGAATGCAGCAGGCTTCTGAAAATATGAGCACGAACCAAACCTGTTAATCTAACTATTCTTCTGCAGGAGGTTGACTTGTTCTTGACACTGTCTGCAAACTAGATGAACTTAAGCCGATTTCTTGATCAGCCGTAGCAATTGCAAAAGGTTTGATAGATGAACGGAGAGATTCAGGGCCCTCCGCTGCAATTCTCTTGCACAATGCATCGCAGTTACTGATAACTTCTGTCAGCCTTCCTTTGAGCTCTCCTATTTCCACCTGCAATGCATGAACTGCATGCACGTTCCAACACAAAGTTAACACATGTTCACAAGGAATCACAGAAGTCCGTAGTCCCCTATCTAACCAGTAATTCACCCATACCAATGCAAACATCATGACAGACATGCAAATGAATCAAGATTTACGATTTCGTGAGCAGTGAAAAGCCATGAAAGAGGGAATATTCCCTTTCAATTTAGCAGATTAGGAAAACATGTGTTACAGTGTTACTCGCTGGCCTATGAAGTTGAGAAGCCAGGTATTCAACCCATTGTTAGGACTGGGTCTGATAGTTACCTCCTGATAGATGTTGTGAAGTAGTCTTCATTGTGGACATTGAGTAATTAAACCGCTGAAGAAGTTTGATTGCCAAAGCATCTGCAACTTCTATTCTGTTTTCTATCTCCTCCTGCAAGAATTGTCTCCATTTTCAAGGCATATATCATAACTTTCATAAATCAGAAAAAAGGAACACATGTCAATTTTCTTAAGGAGTCAACAATGTCTTACATATCAAAACAACAATTGACACTATCTAATATTATAAAACAACATTAATACAATAACAAAAATTATTGAAGGTTATTCACAACATAGGAATTTTACATTCTGAAGTTATTTCTTTCAGTTTGATAACTTTTTTTACAAATTAATTATACAAGTCACTTAATGCAATTTTTACTAGAAATATTGATCAGGCAGTTATCACCAAATAAGGCTTTAGCATTTTCATTTTCTATTCTCCAAGTATATAACCAATTCATTAAAAATAATAATGAGAATTAGCTTCAGGATTCAAAATCTCCTGCTAGAAAAACCATATTAATGGTTTTGATTATACATATCTTGTTCACAATCATTCACTATAAATCTTTACATAGTAAAATAGTTAGAAATATGGCAGAATCAGTTTTACCCAGCGTGGGAGGGGGAAACAGGCTAGTAGTTTTAGCTATATACAAAAATTCCACTAAGGTTGAAATCTAAGAATGTGTTTGAAGTCAGTTCTTACCGTCTCACCATTTTTTTAAGAGATACTAACCATTCACAAATTGAAAAGAGAAGGTAACACCATAAACAACACATCAAAATGAATCTTGTACTGGATTCTGTTAATCCCACTAGTACTATGTATTTATTGGCATGAAAATACCCAACTTGAACACAAATTCAAGAGTATACATTACATATGCCTCCCCTTTCCAAAATTAAACTTTTTGTTGCTTAAATTTCACATGCTAAATTAAAGAGCCCTTTAAGTTAACTTCTTGTTTAAAAAAGTTAACCCAACGGTGAAATCAACACATATATTAGAGACATGTCTATCCCTTGTTGTAGTTACTAACTAGCACCATGCGCATCTGCTGGAATAACTGAACAGTGCCTATTCTAAATAGCAAATATACCTTAAGTCACTATGTTATATCTAACAAATGTAGGTCAACCATATACTATATTTAAGTACAAGTCAACTACATTCACTTTATTATAAGTAAATGCCAGCAATGTTTATCATATAACTCAAAATCTTAACTGACACTCTTGAGGGTATTTTCGTCTTTTCATTATAAATTAACACTGCTGGTCCCTTCTAATAGCGGAGCAGGAGTTTTAGGTTTTGAAAACAGAGAGGCCAAAAGTGTAGGTATGAGTTCGGGTAGGGAAGGTTAAGTAATTCACTTTAATTGAATTTTACATGTGCAAGGAAAAAGTTGCCTTTGGTGTGTGAGTGTATTCTAAGAAGTTGAATCCAATATTACATGAAATCAGTAAAATCACTGAACTATTCTTGTATTAAACAGACCTGTCTTTTGCTTATCTCTTGGGCCTTTTGCTCCTGCCAATCACGGTACATTGAGAAGAGCTCCAGAAGGACATTGGGATTCACTATAGCTGTTTCAGACATGAAGAGAGAGCAACTAAGTATTGGCCCAAATAGAACCGTTATTATCAAACGTGACCCATAGCATACAACAGAATGACCACAACTAACATGATATATCAGCAAAGGGATGTATTAGGACTTAAATGTGACTGAAAAACCTGAAGCTTAAGTGCATCACGGTGTTTCTGAAAACCAACAAACTTATATACGAAAACTATAAAAGTCATCCATCACAATAATGAGCAATTGTCAAAGCTGTAATCTAGCATGACATATCGATGCTGTCAGCTCTGATCTGTGAATTACGATGGGATAATTATTGGTAAAAGGTTTCATAAGAAACAAGAGATTCCTCAAACTTCTACAGATGTAGACTTGGTAGATTTGAAGCATGAACTGGGAAATTATCTATTTTGGACTGGTGGTCTAGGCCTTTTATGCAGCCCATTTCCACTCCTACTATAGGACAAAATATCCTTATCACCAATATTCTCCCCCTATTCCGTACAACCACCTTCCACTACCTACATATGTGCTTGACACTACACACCCACACAATCTTCACCTGCAGTAACCGTTCATTCATCACACACATTGCAGAATATCGTCACAACTATCTATATATGCACGGTTCACGCCATAAGGCGAGGACTTCACATCTTTGGTCTTTTACACTCTTCACCTCTTGCATGCACTAGCCTGAGCACCACAGTTTGCAGGTGAACCCACCACCCCCTCTCTACCATAATACATGGTGGAAAACACCCACTTGAGCACCTCAAATTGACACCATGGAGACCAGATTCAGCCCATGTCCAGTCACTCCATCTCGGGCCGAAAAATATCCTTGCCAATGTTATAACTCATGACTATTTATTTGTGCTTTTTTAAGAAAAAGGCACTTTAAAAAAATGTTTCAAAATTTCTAAATAATTTAAGTATTTTGAAAAAGAAAAGTTAAAACCCATGTAGCTTTAATGCTTTTCTCATAAGCTACAAAGAGTAGCTTCTGGAAAAAAAAATATTTCATAAAGTGTTTTTTTCAAAAACTTATCCAAAGGCACCCTAAAATCTGAAACCTTTTTTCTGAGGTTATATATTCCCCAACTAATGTCCATTAACTAATTAATAGCGTGTATTAAGAGGTAAAGCTCACGAAAACCCCTCAAAGAGATAATTATTTTTTGTATCTCAACAGAAGCTATCTAGAATATATTTAAGTGACAACCAATCAATATATAAACTGGGAGAAGATAGAACTCTATGTTCATTTTTCTTAAAAAAACAACTATCCACATCAACAAAATTCCCATTGTTTAAGTAAAGATGGCTTGAGCCTGGGCAATGATATCTTCGTTACTTCAGTCATTTTAGGAAGAGAAATTTCCACCGAAAGGAGCAGCGCTAGATGCATAAACGATGCCCATAAGAAAATATTCTATTGTTAGTAAAAAAAAATAGAGAGAGAGAATATTTCAATTGGGAGCAAATATGGTGCAGAGGATATCAAGATGCAACAAGCCAAATGGTGGCAATGATTCAGAGATTGGGGGGGCTCTATAAGACTTGAAAAATGTAAGAACACATAACATAATAAGTGATTAGAATAAAATGAAATAGCATTTGAAGATGCAAAAGAATAGCACAGTCCATGTACTGAGAAGTTGCAAATATCAGAAACTAAGGAATGATAGAATCATTCAGGCATAAGAGATCACCTGGAACCGACGATGAAGGCTTCCTCACTAAAATATCAGTTAAGGTACCCTCTGTTGGGGGAGACGTTAATATGGGCGGTGTCTACAGTGAAACAATTAAGAGATTCAAACCACATAGACAACTAATCAACAACGAACCCTCTAAACGACAATAAGGATTGGTTTTTTCATATTTAAAAAAAAAAAAAAAAAAAAAACATACGAGTTTGAGAGATTTGAGCCGCTCTAAAATGGGGTCAGAGGCTTCCGATCGCTCGGTTACGGTGGTGATTTTGTCATCTGGCGTCTTCAGCCATGACAAATTAAGAAAATTCAGTGAATCAGTAAACAATTAACTAGAAAATAAAGACTTTTTTGGAATCCAGCGGCAAAAAAACTGATGGAATTGAAAGAGTTTTACCTGTCCGCTTGAGAAAGTAGACTCTGAAGCGCCCATGTCCTGTAATGCGGTGTGGAATTGAGCTCATAAATCAAAGTTTAAACCGAAGCTCTCACTCACAGATTGGGGAATTTGGGAATGGGGTGCTGCGAAAAATAGTGAACTGAAACAATAGTTTACGGGAAAGCCTCACGATAAAAATTTAAAACAAAAATATTATATTTTCTTACGGGAGAGATTATATTCACAAATTATTTTCACTTACTAATTTTTTATAACTATTTTTTTCTTCAATTAAAATTGAATTAACAATTGTAAAATGACATAAAATAATTAAGAGATGTTTATTTAATTTTGATAACAAAAAAAAATGATTGTAATAATTCTAAGCAAAAATAAATTGTAAATATAAATCCATCTTTTTATTAATTAATTATATATTTTTTATTTTATCTCCTTATCATAATTCTTTATTAAATATTTATAATAACTTTTTTAACAATTTTTATCGACAAAATAAGATTGGGAGAACACCCGTCTGACACCTCTTGACAAGACAAAAAAAAAATGTCAAAAATGTTAGGGAAATTATTTTTCGAGTAAACATCCTTTTTGTCTCTGGCAATATTTACGAAATCTTTTTTAGTCCTTGACAATAAAAAAGGACTAAATTGGTCCCTAAAATTATAAAAAAAGAGCCACGTTAGTCCTTATGTCAACTCCTCCGTCACTAACGTGGCCCTTTTTACATACTGTTAGGAACCAATCTGGTCCTTTTTTACTGTCAGAGACTAAAAAGGATTTCGTAGATATTAGCAGGACCAAAAATAGTATTTAGTCTTATTTTTCACATTGTTATGCCAAGAGTTGATAATTTTTAAGATAACCCACTAATACGACACCAACTTCGTAAGGAAACTTCATATTTGGGTCAATCTTATTTCAATTTGTGTTGGTAAAAATTGAAGAAAAAAAAATTGATTCACATTAATCTTTTAAAAAGTTATTTGTGTATTATTATATCAACATAACATCATTAAAATAATATTGAATATATATATTATTTGTGTCCTATCATATTTATTCGTACAATAAGTGACATTGTGATTGACTGATTATTTATGTGTTATCTTGTCAACTCACAAAAATATGTGAGTCGCGTCAACTAGAATTGTTCCCTTGCCACGCTTAAAGTTTGTTATCGGCCCAACAGAACACATTTTGGCTCAATCCCGTTTGCTACAAGATTCTTCCGATCTGGTAAACCCCTTTTGACTAGAAAATCAAAACTCAGTTTGAAACTCTAATACTTGCTACTTCAACAGAGGCATCTTCCTAGTTTAGAAAATGCTAAAATTTGAGAAAATAAATTAGGCAGTTGGAAGAAGGGCATGGAGGGAGTAGATGGAAGAAGAGAAAGAAAGAGAAGCAAGGAAGAAGGTGAGGGAGCATTCTGAGATCCGCTATTCCTCTCCCTTCCGTCGAACTCGCTCACCACTTTGTTTCTCACTTCTTTTCCGTCGCTTGGAAGTTTCTCCACACACAGCTTCCTCTTTCAACCCCATCCCTCCCTTGCTTCTCATCACACTTCTTTCCACCAGGTCCTTTCCGCTTTCTTTCTTTCTTTCTTACCCATCTGTCATTTTTTTTTTCTTTTTTATCGTCTACCAGTTAGGTGCTCCTTTGTGTATATACGCATTTCAAATCAGTTTATTTTTTTTTTATTTTTTGGTATCTGTTTCTTGATTCTTGAATGTGCATATGAAAGTCTTGGATGGATGAATTCATACTATTACGTTTGTTTTGCTCAATTCAATTCTGTATTGCCGTCTTTTTTGTATTATATATGCAATTTTTGGCAATTAGAGTAGTTTTTCAATGAGGTAGATGGTTAAGATGAAAAAAGCAAATCCTCCCTTAACTACCAAAAAAAATATTTGAGACACGAAGGAACACTTGATTTTTTGCCTTCCACAGGAAAAAATTCTGGCTCCACCCTTGAATAGAAGAAAGTAATTCTATGTAACTAGACGTGTCCCGTGTATCGTAAGGCGATTATTAATTAAGGAATATTATTTAAGTGCTTTGAACTCTAATTTTATATTATAAATAAGATTTGAAATGTAAGTTTTATTGAAATTGATTCTATTTCAAAATATCAAAATATAAATCATTAAAAACATAGGTATTAAGTCATCCTTAATAACCAATATATATATAAATGGAAAAGATATTTTTTATTTTAAAAAATATAAAATTGTGTCATTTTAAGGGCCCGCTTGGATGAGCTTTTAAAAAAATAACTTTTTATGCATCGCTTTTTTTAAAAAAACTTTTTTTAAAAGATACAGTTATTTTACGTTTGGATGTATGATCTGAAAATCATTTTTTCATAAAAAAGTTGTTTGAATGTTAAAATAAAAAAACAATTTTTATATATAAAATTACAATAAAGGACAGATAAAATAGCATGATCGTAGGATAAGGAGAGATAAAAAGGATATGATAGGATAATGTTAAAATTGTATTTTAAAAATTTATATTATCCTTTTTCCAAAAAAAAATTATATTATCTTTTAATTTATGCTTTTAAAAAGCAACCAACTACTCGCTATAAAAAAAGTAACATTTTAACTTTTATTTTAAATTTTACTTTTCTTAATATCCAAGCATCTAAGGGTGCGCATGACAACCTTCCCGGAATCAATTTTTTTTTAATTTCTGTTACTGAGAACAGAAATGGATAAAAAACTCGTTTGGTAAAATCGGTTTATTTTTTTGTTCCCAGGATAAACCGGATTAATTTTTGTGCTGGGGAACAGAAAAAAGAATCAGAAAATTTATGCCTTTTTGTTCCCAGGCACAAAATGATAAACAATTATCTCCCTTAATCACTCTCCATCTCTACCATCATCACTACCACCACCACCACCATCATCCCAACACGACCACTGTCGCCGTTGTCGTACCACTAGTGCTGTCGTGACCACCCCCACCACCACGATGCCACCGCCACCATCACCACCACATCCACCCATTACTACCACCATCACCACCACGACAGCTACCACCGCTGCAACCACCACCACTATCACTGTCATCGTCACCGTCACCACCACCACCATAATCGTAACTACTGCTGCCACCACCACCACAACACCACCGCTACCATCACCACCACTGTCACCAACCACCACTATCATTGTTGCAGTCACCATCGACATCGTCGTCATCGTCGCCGGCCCCAACCACAACACCATCGTCACAGCCACTACCGTCACCACCACCATCGACATCATTACACCACCCCGCCACTACCACCACCGCCACCATCACCACCACCACCACCACCACCATTATCTCCATGATGTCATCACAACCACCATCACCAATGCCACCAACCACCATCCTCACCACCATTGTCGCAACCACTGTCGTCGCCTCCATCACCACCACCACCACAACGCCACCGCTACCATCACCACCATTGTCACCAACCACCACTATCATTGCTGCAGCCACCACCGACATCGCCGCCGCCACCAACCACCACCACCATCGTCGCAGCCACTACCGTTACCACCACCACCACTGTCACCTACCACCACCGCAGCCACTGCCACCACCACTACCATCTCCATGATGCCATCACAACCACCACCATGCCATCGCTACCATTGTCGCCGTCACCAATGCCACCAACCACCATCCCCACCACCATTATCACTGCCATCGCCGCAGCCACTGCTGTCACAACCACCACCACTATTATCACCATGTCACTGCCACCACCACTGTTGTACCGCTGTCGCCACCACTAGTACCACCACCATGCTACCCCCGCCACCACCACCACAACCACACCATATGGAAAGGAAAGTGATGATCTGAAAATTTTTTATATTTAATAGTAATTATTTTTTATTATATTATTTGTTGTGTTATCAAACGCAATTCTCATTCTCGAAATAAAAATAGATTATGTTATCAAACATATTTTTTTCTCAGAAACTGTTCCAAGGAACATAAATAGAAAAGAATTGTTTCTTTTCAAAAACAGTGCTAGGAAATAGAATGGTTGTCATGCACACCCTAAAAATTTTCAAAATGACTTTTATTTATAAAAAAAAAAAAACAACTTTTTTAGGAATAAAAGTCCATCTAAACGGGCACTAAGTGAGTAAAAGACATAATTTAGTATTTTTTATTTAAAGTTTAGGTTAAAAAAATATTAATTTTCTCTCCTATGATTTTCATTATTTATGTCTTTTTTCAATTGAAATAACAAAATTCAATTTTAAATTATATCTATATATATACGTATAGGGAAAAATAAATCTTATGTTGTAGGAGAATTCTAATCTCATGTCATAGATACATCAAGTGTGGGATCTATTTATTCAAAAAAACAAAAAAAGAGTTACACACCTTTTTATAATGTGCGTAAGAAAGATTTGTTTTCTAATATAACATAAAAAAAAATAAACCCCGTATATATATATATATATTGAAAACATGTGAGAGTGATAGTTGTCCTAGTAAATTGGGTAGTGACGCCACTAGTATTGCTTGCTATTTCAACCGGCGGGGAAATGTCCAAACTCAATATCTAGTTTTTTTCTCTATTTGAAATACGGGTTTTATTAATCTCGTTTTACATAAGATAATTATCTTATGTTATAAAGATAAGATGAGTGGGTCCCACTATTATAAGAAAAAAAAAAGGTGGGGGTGCAAAAATCGAAGTAATAGAACATGAGAGAAGTTATCTTAAGTGAAATGAGAGTAATATTTCCCTTAAAATATATTCTTGTTTTCATATTTTTACGCCAAAAATAAACTGGTTTGATGAATTTATATTGTTGTTTTAAAGTATAAAATAAATAAAATTTTAAAAACTTTTATTTTAATATATAGTCAATATAAAATGTTACACTTTATCTTTATAAATAAAAGAGTAAATACCCTTTTTGGTCCTCAGCAAATTTTACGAAGCCCACTTTAGTCCATAGCAAATAAAAAGGCTATTCGTGGTCTCTAAGAAATTCAAAGTGGACCCATTTTAGTACTTTTGAGGGACTAATATGAGTTTTTTTTAATTTTGTGAGGGACCACGATCTTAATTAAATGGGTCCATTTTGAATTTCTTAGGGACCACGAATAACCCTTTTTATTTGTTAGGGACTAATCCGAGCATTGTGAAATTTGCTGAGGACCAAAAATAATATTTACTCTAAAAAAATGTTTGCATGGAATAATATGTGCTAAATTTATTTTTTTTATTTTGTAAATAAATAATTTATACGTTGTAGAGTGATCTTCACAATTACAACAGTGTTGATGAATCAATTTCATATTAATAATTGAACCGAAGGGTTCATAAATGTGTTTTGTAGAGGGTAAAATATGTCAATTTAGGGATACTCTGTATGGACCAAGGTTTTGCAGAAGCTTTCCATGTATGTGCATCAAGGGAGAGTGTGTGTGAGTTGCTAGAATGTCTCTGCATAGAAGCATAATAATAGCTCTCTTGGAGAATAGAGAAGATCATTCTTCCATGTGTGAGATGGTATTTAGAGAAGGATGTCTCGGTCAAGTGTGGGAGAGAGAATGTCAAGAGTTGTTACCTAGCCAGCCTAACATTTTTAGGCTAGGCATGCTGAATCCACTGTCCATGTACAGAAGTAGCAGTGCAGTGGGGAATGAATCTTATACTAATGGAAGAGCCCTCTAGGAGATTCTAGATGCGAGCTTAGATATTGGACCTAGGGGTGTTCAACAACTGATCCAAACTGATTCAAACCGCGGTGACCGAACCGAAAAACCAATAACCGAATAAACCGAAAACCGAAAAACAAAAAACCAAAAAAAAACCGCAAATTTTAATTGGATTGGATTGGTTTTTGGATGGGTTGATGAAAACCGATCCAATCCAAACTGATCCAATATATTAATTTCCCTCTACCTACTTGGATCTTTCCTTAATCGTAGTCTAAAAATTTCTAAACCCAAGACCCATTAACCCATTATCTAAACCCAAGAAAAAATCTAGTCACATCTCATCAATAAAATTTTATCTTTGTAGAGCTTCATATCTCATTGGAAGAAAAAAAATCATATTATAATTTACTAATGCTTTTTTATTTCAATTTTTTTTACAAAGCCAACATATACAAAAGATGTTATTTGTACAATAATCATGAAATAAATTTTAGGATTTTCAAAAAATCGAAAACCGATCCAATCCAAACCGAAAAAATTGGATTGGATCGGATCGGATTTGGAAAAAAATCCAAACCGAATAGATGATTATATGATCAAACCGAAAGGATTGGATCGGATGATTTTTACTTCCAAAACCGATTCAATCCAAACTGCGAACACCCCTAATTGGACCCAATGAATTAAGTCCAAAAGAGGTTTGCCAATACAACAACTATGAGGAAAAATAAAAATAAAAGATACAGTGCATTGTGTTTTAAATTTTTTATTATATTGTAATAAATTAATTATTAATCGAACCTAAATAAATACGTAATTGTGTAAAGAGTCAAAACCCATGCTTTTGGATTTTTATTATTATTATTATTTTGTAAACTTGATGTTCATTTTTATTTTTGGGGGGGGGGGGGGGGGGTGAATTTTTATTCTGTTCTTTTAGAATTTTATTTGGTCTTGATTCATTTGGTATTTTTTTCTAACACAAGTAATGCATATATGTTTTAAACAACTTCCTTTACAATTTTTTAGGTTCTACAGAATACAAGACGAGGAAAGGCTTTGCGAAACATTGACCTGCATTTGTTTATTTTTGTTGGTGGTGGTAAAAAATTTAGGATACATCCGTTGCATGTAATTGTTGTATTGAACTCAGCACGACAGTATTGTATCTTTATCAAGATACAAAAATAAATTTTGGGATTCTAAAAATTTATACAGTATTTATCAATATATCATAATAGAAATGTACTATTATTGCACTCAACTTCAGCACGATGCGTGCACCGAAAATATTTTCTCTTAATGGCTACCGTTTGATATGATTTAACCCACATTGTAATCAACTCTCTCTTAGCATTAATCCTACAAAAAAATTTGGGTGAGAAGCGAAGCACCTGAGAAGAATATAGAAGAATAAAATCAGCAAGAAAACACACTCTTAGTTAGTTTCCTGTTTAGGCTGAGATGGCCAAAAGTCAGGATTAGATAGCACCGTTGGCATTCCAATCCATAGCCACAGCCACATTTTCACTTTCTAAAAACAACGCTAATATTCACGCCACGTGTACGTTCAAGATATCTCTCTGCACAAGCTGGCAATCCTCGTGCCACTGTCCCCACCAATAGCACTCAACAAAACTTCCAGCAGGGATCACTCCCTCTCTATTTATAAGAGAGAGATCACATTCCAGAACTATCAGAATTCAGAACTCAAAGTTTACGCTAAAAACCTGCTGCTATTCTCTCTGTGTGTCTATTATCGGAGATGTCTGCTGCCGGAGAAGGTGATGGTCCCGCCGTCGAACTAAGGGTGGAGGAGACCAAAGCGATAGAGGAGACTAAGCCAGTGAAGGAGAAGAAACCCAAGGCTCCTAAAGAAAAGAAGCCCAAGCAGGCCAAAACAGCTTCACATCCTCCATATTTTCAGGTTACTTGCATATTAAATTGATAGCGCATGATTTGCTGCGATCGTTTTTTAGGGTTAAATTCTTTGTTGTATTCACGATGAGTGTGTGATTTTTATTTATTGGTTCGTTATTTGTTTTGCAGATGATTAAGGAGGCCTTGTTGGCTCTGAACGAGAAGGGTGGTTCAAGCCCTCACGCCATAGCTAAGTACATGGAAGAGAAGCACAAGTCGGTGCTCCCTGCGAATTTCAAGAAGATTCTGGGCTTGCAGCTGAAGAATCAAGCTGCGAAAGGGAAGCTTGTGAAGATCAAGGCTTCTTACAAGCTATCTGAAGCTGCGAAGAAGGAAAGCAGAGCCAGTGTCACGAGGGGCACCACAGAGAAACAGAAACAGAAACAGCGCCCAAAACGAAGCAAAGTCACAACTGCCGCCGCCGCCACTCCAAAGGGCAAGAAAACCGAGGCGGTTAAGAAGGTTGGGCCGAAGAAAACGAAGAAGGTGTCTACACCATCGAAGCCCAAGCAGCCCAAGTCCATTAAGTCTCCTTCCAAGAGGGCTAGGAAAGCTACTGCTGTTGCCGCTTGATGTTGGGTTATGATATGGTTCTTGATTAGGGATAGTCTATTATATAACATACAGCTGTTAATATGAAAAGTAATGTCCTATCCCTTTTACTGCACAATCTTAATGTAGAGTTCGCTGTAATATGGGATCTAATGGAGCTTAGTTTGTTTTTGTTTTGAATCATCCTTTTGTTATTGAGTTGCTTCTTGTTCCCTTCTTTTCTCGCTTGGCTTTGCGATGAATATTCTGGAACGTGGAACGCTCTCGTGCACGTCACCGTAGAATATATCTTTTTGAGTAAATTTTTTTTTGTTCGTCGGAAAATTTACGATGTCCTTTCTACCAAATAAAAAGGTGGTCCTTAAAAAATTCAAAATGGAACAATTTAGTTGAAATCGTAGTCCCTTACAAATTCAAAGAAGATCTATCTCTAAAAGAATTAAAATAGATCTATTTTGAATTTTTTAGGAATTACGATAAGTCTTTTTATTTGTTAGGGACTAAAGCGGGTATAGTAAAATTTACTTAATTTTTTTTTGTAATATTGAAGAGATTCAAACAACGTACTTTCCTTGTCATCTCTGTTTAGTTTTCATGCGCTGGCTTATCTATGATCATTTGCTACTGTTGTTGGAATATATTTACTGAGCTGTGTTACGGACACTATCGTAGGTGTCATTACAGTGCATCTAATCTGAGGTAAATTTTGATGGTATCTCTTCACCGCCCAATCTCGTAGCATGTTCCGAAGGCTAAAGAGATTTTTCGTTAAAAATTGTTAATTACGTCATCTCCATAAATACTACGGTATGACGCGCAATCGATTTTATTTTACTTTTTCGCCGTCCGATCATGTGGCAAAACATTCAAAACTAGCAAAACTACGGAAAACAAGTTATTTATTCTAAAGCAGGAACGACGCGTGGTGAGGAGCTGCACCTGGACATCCCGTCTTTATAGAAATTAATTTATAATTAAATTATAAATAAATGATGCATTAATAATATAGACATGCATCTTTTTGAATTTGTAAAGAGAACGGATAAATGACGCAAAATTAATATTGAATGGCGAATATTTTTTTTATATAAAAACATTATGTTTTAATGCAATTAAAATATTTTAAAAAAATATGAACAAAATTGAGTGTTTTTCTAATTATAGCAAGAATTTGACGTATTCTTGGTTTACTTTTTAGACATTATATATATAAATATATATTATTTAAATCTCATGTTACATTAAAATAATATAAAATAAGTGGTTATAATTTATTTTGTATAAAATAAATGATTTCGTATTTATTAAATAATTACGAATATTATTGCCATTTTTTTTGAAAAAGAATATTATTGTTGTTTGTTTATACAATATTATTGACATATTATAAGCAAACAACAATACAACAAATATAACATGAATTATAAATTATTACAAATTACACCACAAGAAATATCATATAATGGTATATTACTATAAATAACATTTCAATAAACATAACATAAATTATAACTTATTACAAAGATATTACACATGTTAATATTTTTTTAATGATTATTATGTAGATAATAATTTATTATTATATTATTATATTTATCATTGATATGATAATGTTGTTTTCCATATAAATAAAGGGAAATGACTCATACCTCATTATTTTAAAACAAAATTGAGTGAAAATCAAAGAGAAAATAAAAGAGAATTTTGGGGAAAATAATACTTAGAATAGGAAAAGTAAATTTTGGAGTAAATACTACTTCAGTAAAATAATGATATATTGTAAAACATTGAATGATCATTTCTTTTAATAGAATATGAGAATAACGTCTATCGTGACATAAGTTCATGTGAAATGATTTCAACGGTTCATATACAAATCAATGTTTATGGAAAGCAAATTAAGATGGAGAGTTACAAAATAATTTCATATGAATATGTGTGAGGATTCATTATTGAAACTTTTGGCATATTTCAAGATAGATTGGAAAGTTATGGTATGTTAAAGATATACAGATAGTAAAATATGTTTGCTCTATACAAGTATTTCCTTTCATATGTTGGACACCGCAACCCTTTGAGCCTTTTGTCCCACCATCTCAATTTGAGGGATTGTATTTCTTTTAAGCTTCAAAAGAGATGTTGTATCAGCTAGGGATGTGCATGGAGCGGTTCATAATCGGTTTTAACAAAAATTGAACCGAATCAGTTTTAAACGGTTCATAATCGGTTCTAACAATTAATATCCTTAATTAACTATTACGCATATAGAAAGTAGTACAGCTATCTGCCACAACAGAATTTTGAAATCTTTTCTCACCCCCTATTTTTAAAATTCGAATTTTAAAAGTTACTAAAAGATGAAACATTTCAAAATGATTTCAAGCGTGAACACAAAGCTGAAATTAAAGGATAAAATGACACGTCGGCAAATTAATTTCTTTATTATTGAATTAAAAATATCTATACTAATTTTAAAATTTTAGTGTTGAATACCTAAGGTAAATATATATTGTAATAGAACTAAAAAGTGTAGCTTTTTTTTTTTGCTAAACAGAGTGTAGCTTTTAAAAGAGCTTGCATTTGTTTAAAAAAAAACTTGCATTTTATCTTCTGGTTACATTACCTTTTTACACAAAATATTATTTTGGGTAAATTACATAAAATCACCTCAAAATTATGTATTTTTATAAAAAACCACCTTTCACTTTCAATTGAAATTTTTTACCCCTTTACACTTTCAAATACTAACAATTAAGCATATTTATTAATTTTAAGATCGAAATATCCCTATCTCATCCCACCATCCTTATTGACCACTGCCGCTGCCATCACTCATTGGTAATGTCGTCACCCACTAACAATCACCCTCAGACACCATCTATTATTGTCCACTACACATTGTTAGCTGCCAGTCGTCCCTCACCGGGAAAATTTTAAATTAATTCGAATTTGCTATAACCCATCAAGAAGTGCCACGCATGAGCGGAGCTATAACAAAGCAGGGTTTAGGGAAATTTCTACAATACTACTGTCTTACCCACTTTTCTAAACATCCTTCCAATACAAATTAAACACCTACGCTGATTGATGACATGGAAAAGAAAAAAATATATATTAAAAACAAGTGTTTAATTTTCAATGGCTGTAGTACATACTACTATTGTATCAAAGATGAGCTCAGGGTTTAGCTGCAAGGGATGATTTTTATTGGAAATGATTTGGATTGTTGGCGGCTGAAACAAAGTTATACATTTTTCTTCTTAATGTGAAACTCGAAATTGGATATCAAGTTCTGAATCTGTCAACTAGCATCGCTTATCATTGAATTATGATTTTAGCATAATTTCTGCACAATATAACAGCTAAAACAGTACCTTCGTTTTGTCCTTAATGTTGTATATATTTCATTACACAATTTAGATTTTGATCTATATCATACACTTGGATATATTGGGCTAACTATTGTACTCTCAAAACTGAATTTTTGGTTAATCGCTGAACAATCTAAATTCTCGTGTATCTTGAGTTGGTTTAATATACTAGTTACCCTGCCATTTCAATATTGCAGTTCATCCATATCAACACTTGGCAATATTGTAAAATTGATTTGAGATAAAATACTAATCTTGTTCAAAAAATTTCTGTATTATTGACTGTTGTTTAACTGTATGTTTTGGTTCTAATTTGTAGTTACTGTGTTGCATCTAACATCAACCATGCATTAACTTGATCCAGTTTTAAATCTACTAAATGAAGTTGCTTCGTCCAATCTTGTTTTCTCTGCCTTGTTGATTTAAATTCACTGTTTTGGATATTTTGATATTGCAATATTGGTGAGTATTATTACATTTGCATACTTGAGATTTCTCTCATCTGTCACCGGTATTATTGCAATCCTGTGAACATATAATCTATGATGTACCGACACAGGACACGCGACACGATACGACACGACACGCCGATACGTAAATTCTAAAAAATGTCATATTTTGACACGTTGGGACATGTTCTCATGTTAAATAATATTTTTAGTATATATAATATAATTTATATTTAATACATATAACAGCCCATAATAAGTCATTTAATCAATCAAATTTTCAAATTCTATAACATAAATATAAGCAAAAATAATTTTTCATAAATTGTTAATTTTTCATGTTACATATCATAACAGAAAAAAATTAATTTAGAAATTATTTTTTCATGTTTAATTAATAAAATAAAATTTAGTTGTAAAAAAAAATGTGTCAGAACAAGTCGGAATATTGATCGCGTGTCGGAACGTGTCAGACACGTGTCCGACACGCATATTTTTCAAAAAGTTGTGTGTCCGTGCGTAGCAGCATATAACACTTGCATATTAGTAGGTGGCGGAAACACTAACGAAACCAACATAACACCAAAATGGGTAGAGGTCTGCAATAGCAAGGGCGGATGATAAAATAAGAATAAGGGTATTTTTGTCCTAAAACTAATAAATATGCTTAATTGTGACCCTTTGAAAGTATAAGGGAGTTAATTGATTGAATTGGAAGTAAATGGTGGCTTTTTGAAAGAGCGCTTGACTATAAATTGCTTTCATGTAATTTAGCCTATTATTTTTGTGCAGAGTCCACAAATGGATCACATTTTCTCCCTAGTACCGAATTGATCAATTTCAATGAAATACCTTAAAATTAGGAACTAAAAACATAAATAATAAAAATATGGAAATAAATTAATTAGTTGAGTAAGAGAGGATTGTAATCGCCCAATTAATTAGTTGACTAACAAATTATTCTAATCACTATAATTTGGGGAACAATAAAAATATAGAAATAATGAAATAGAATCTTCTACATTTCTAGAAATATATAATACCACTTTCCCTCAAGCTGGCTAGTAAGGCTGTGCATGATAACCTTTCCAGAATTTTATTTATTTATTTCTGCTCCCAAGAATAGAAATGGATAAAAAATTCGTTTGGTAAAATCGGTTTAATTTTTTGTTCCCGGGATGAACCAGTTTATTTTTTATACGGGGGAGCAGAAAAAAGAATAAAAAAATTTATACTTTTTTTGTTCCTGGGCATAAAAAGAGAAACACTTATCTCTCACAGTTACTCTCCACCACTACCATCATCACCACCGTCATCACCATCCTGACACGACCACCGCTACCATCATCGCACCATCACCTCCACCTCCACGTCACCA